CCTTCCACCCCTCCAACCCCCCACCCCACCAACCCTCCACCCTTCCAACCCCCCACCCCACCAACCCTCCACCCCACCCCTCTGACCTGGAGCTTACAGAACATAGTGTTAATTTAGATGTAACAAGCAGCTAACGGTATATATATATAAAACTGATATACCAAAGTCTTGTTCTCTAATGTTAGCATAATATTTCTAGTTATATCTGTAGACATGAATACTTTGAGAACAGAGAATGAGGAGGCACATGCAGAGAGACAACACTGGCAAGCCAGGTATGAAACCCTGCTAGCAGAGTGTGAGTTAGAGAAACAGGTGATTATAAATATTAGCTATAAAATGAAATTGTGTTCAATATCTCTTTCTTTCTTTTCTTTTTCCCTTTTTTTTCCTTATTTATCTTTATCTATTTATTTCATTTTTATAAATTTTTTGCTAATATATGTGATAAGGTTAACTGTCGGAGCAGTACATGTAAGAGATAATAAATTGAAAGATTTGTGACAGACTCCCATAACATTTTGCATAATTAACAAATTGTGCAGTAAAGTCATCAGTGGCATATGTATGATATGTCTAACATCTCCACTGGAATGTGGTGCCATCTTTTGGTGAAGTGATGAACTACAGGCCCATAGCCAGGGGGGGTTTTGGGGGGTTCTAAAGAACCGCCCTTTTTGATGGGAAAAGGTCCACTTTGGAAAAATTTGATCTAGGTACAAAAAAGTTTTATGGTAAAAAGTTCACTTTTTAAGAAAACTACCCCCCATTTGAAATTGCTAGCTACAGGTCTGAAATAGTAGTAACAGTGTTTGCCATAGTAGCTGTATGTAGCAGCAGAAATGTAGTTTGTACCTGGACTAATTTACCCTGAGATTCTGAGGCCCCTTGGATCTCATTGAGGGAAGACACTTGGTGATAGTAAAGATGTTAGTGATCAGAGACATGTGAAACTCAGGGCGCTTACTTTACAGTATTTGTTCAATTTTAGGAAAAGTTTAAGCTTCACCAGGAGATCCAGGCACTGACAGCAGAGCTCAGTCAACAGTCTGAATACTGTGCAGGGATGGGGTCTGCTGCTTGTACCCTGCTATGGAGGGTATCACAGTGTGAGGAGAGTATTCAGTCTATACTGGCTGGGGTAAGTATGGTTATTATTTATAAATTACTCTGCTATGGAGGGTATCACAGTGTGAGGAGAGTATTCAGTCTATACTGGCTGGGGTAAGTATGGTTATTATTTATAAATTACTCTGTTACGGAGGGTATCACAGTGTGAGGAGAGTCTATACTGGCTGGAGTGAGTATGGTTATATACGTATATGCACTCTCTGAAGACATGAGGCTTTTATGTGCACAATTAAGACTCAAAGAATTGTCCTCAAGCTTTATCATTATATGTTAGATAAACAAGCATGTTGTATTTCACCAGCTTGATAAAAAATGTTGTTAACCTCATGATTATCCATGTTCCAGAGCAAGAGCCAGGAATTCCTGGACATGGCGTGTACCACTCTGGACAGTTTCCTGGCTACTTACAGAGAAGATATCCCCCAGGGACAGACAGAGGAAGTCCACTTTGTGTGTGCCTTGTGTGGAATTATTACAAGTAAGATATCATGGTTCAATAACATTATATGCGGAATTATTACAAGTAAGATATTGTGGTACAGTCACACTCTGCTCTCAGCAATATGATTTCTAATAATGTAGGTAGCAGTAGGGGTACCATTGTATGGTAGAGTTTTCTGATAATATGGACAACAGTTGCACATTCTGTTGACAGAAAAAAACTTTCTGTACCTGTATCTGTCTGTACCCCTGTAGATGGTTTATTTAGGTCGTTTCAAGGAGCAAAATTTTGTGCATTTTGTTTCATAATTTCTTCATTATATTCCAGACATCACAGCGTCGTCTTATGGGCGTGAGTTCCTGATATCTAAGAAGCAAGATGTGGTGGATACATTTGTGAATGTGTTATCAGAGGCTCCAAATAAATACATCTGGACTAGGATTAAAAAGTAAAGAAATTTGTATGAAATGTTTAATGCTTCTTGTAAATTCTTCTCAATAAATGCAGAATTTCACTTGGGATAAACTCTTTACCTTTTTCAGATTGAAATGAAATTAAACATGCATTTTTATTGAAAGAAAAGTAAGAAGTGAAATGCAAAAAAGAAATATGTCTTATTTAAAGACCAAACAATAAATACATGTAGATACAAATGAATATATATTAGATATTTTGCTTAAATTAGATTGATAATTTCATATAATGATATTAATAGCCAAAAATAATAATAATAATATAATATTTTTGTAAACCTACATCATCAGGAACAACACTTGGTCAGAATAACAAACAAAGACTACGATAGAGTGCGACCAAGATAAGACCAAGTGTAGTTCCCAGACTCCAGATAACTTCTCACTATATTTCCAGCCTGATGCTAATGACACTGTATAACATCAGCATCAATGAAAAAGGACTAAAGTACCTCAGCAACAAGACTGGCTTAATGGGACTATTGGCATGGTTGCTCAGAGGTGAGTTAACATTGCTGCTCTTTAAGTAAATAAATCATTTTTTTATCATGTGAAAAACAGGTAAAATAATCCACTATCACAGATTGTGATTTCCCACAGCTCTTAAATTTTAGTTGTTTTTTTCATTTCTGGTTCTTTTGCCATTTAAGAACAGTAGTTTATACTCTGAAATCAGTGTGAATTCACAATTGAACGTGTGTAGAATATGTCAGTAGCACTGAGGCACATAGCAGTGGATGACATTGTGTTCTATGGTGAAACTACTCAGGATCAGAGAGGGGAGGGGGAGCTGAACTGGACATTGTGTCAGTTGAGATTAAAATTAAGGTTGAGATTGTGTCATGACACACCACATCCGTACTGCCAGTATATGATGTGTTACATATACTTTAAAATTGATAAATACTCATTTATCTTGATAAATAGTTTAAAATGATAGTTTTATACACATATCAGACACAGAAGCATACTATTATGCCACAGTTGAGACAATTTCCTAGGTGATAGTAACATTGCATGTAATACGCCCTGTAACTGTACCATTGTTGTACCACGAACTGAGTACCACCTTAAACCATGGACTTGTAACCTAACTCATTATTTAGTGACATTCTTAAAACTAAAATATGATTTTATGGACTACAGAATACTGTCCTGTTGTAAAATGTTATTGTTACAGACGAGAGAGAGACGGAGAACCAAGTGAACGCTCTGCGTGTCATCCAGTCCCTGACCTGTGACAAGAAGAACATCAGGGTCCTGAATGAAGCCAGAGATATGGTTTGTTAACGATATCATTATTACAAAGATAATTATTGTTAATATTATTACACAAGAAGAACACCAGGACCCTAAGTAACATAGTTTTTTTATATTTGTTTTTTTGTGGAAGTAGCATAGAAATGTTGAGAAATATCAGTATCTTTGATAAACGTGATACTGTGCTGGTCTGTTGTTGATGATTTTCTTTTCTTTTTAGTTGTCACTAGAATATCTTCAGGAGTGTGCAGCTGCAAAGAACACAGTTTTACGAATACTGAGTGCAGAAGTCATGGCAGATTTATATCAGTGATTTTATATTGAGAATTCGGAAGTCATGGCAGATTCATACCATTGATTTTATATCGAAAATTCAAAAGTCACGGCAGATTTATATCAATGATTTTATACCCAGAAGTCATCGGGGATTTAGACCAGTGATTTCATTGCCAGAATTCGGAAGTCATGGGGCATTTATATTAGTGACTATCTAACCAGAACTCAGAAGTTGCGATGGATTTGTATCAGTGATTTACAATGGAAAAGTATTAGTGCAACCAATTGAGTCCACCAGGAATTGCGAACATTTAGTCTGTTGACTACTTTGGTACATGTACAAATGTTCTTAAAAGAATAAATTACATTTAAAGTCATAATATTTGGTAGTGAGTTTAGTTTTATCCCAATATTTATCTCATCAGCGTTGGATACCTCATTACTGTATGAGTTAGGACTGAAATGCAAAATTTCACTGACTTAAGATAAGTTCAAAATATTCCATCCGCCCAAAACGATGTGTATTGCATTTTAATAATTTGTTGCAGTCAATTTTTACCGACAGATCGAAAAGTACAGACATTGTAACTTTCTCATTACGATGAAAAGATAAGATTTCCCGCTAGAAACATCAGTCCGAGTAATAAATCTGCCACAGAAATCGTATCTGTTCTTTCTCATGATTGGCAAAGGTTTCTGCGAAGACTTGGAGGAGGCCTACACGTTCTGTATTATATCGATCCTCTTAATAAACCAAATGCGTTCACTGCATTTCAACTCCTTCTGTGTTAATGAATGTTTCTTAAACACGTTACCACGCTTTTTTTATTGTTAATTGCCAACAAAAATCCAAGAACTTGAGATAAAGAAACTTCAGGTCGATTAACGTTGTTAACCATTGTGACGCACGTCGAAAGAGGCCATTTAAGTGAAGATAGATAGCTGCCGCATCCATAGAGGTTTATCGATCGCTCTCTGCAGGACTTGTACTGAAGTACCAAGGGTCTTGTTGTCTTGGGAATGTTTTCTATTCTACTGGGTATTTGAGGTCAGTTAGAGTTGAGAGGCGGCTCTGAGAATCTCCTTATTAAGTGCATCACGTGCGCGTGTACATGTAAGTAATTAGTTCTAAGTAGAATAGCCTTGGGCAGCTACAGTAGTTCTTAGAGTGAAAGATTGCTTCAGAAGTTAACTGTTAACATGTTGAGTCTGTTAAGTGTGGGTCCAAGAATCCGTGTAAAGGAGCGCATGTACATTGGAGATTTGCCGATCCATATCGGTAGAACCCCTCTGGCGTTCTCCGCAAAACAAATAGTATAATACACGTATAATACATGTACATTGTTGGTTAAAAACGACTTCCACTCTACTTTATAAAGGGAGTCACCAGTAGCAGTTCACTTAGATAAAAATTAATTGTCTAAAATATTAGTCAGTCTTGTCTCTTTGTCAAATAGACCAGATATTCGGATAAAAGTCGACTATCTACATATACATGGTCACGGTATTACCCCGTAAGTCTGTAACATATATATGTACTTTGCCTACCCTCCATCAGGGCCGCAGTTATTATTGTGGACATTTTTTTGCTGAGGCGACTGAGAGCCAAAATGACTGTCTATTTATCTATTGACATATCTGTGAATATCTGTGGAAAATCAATCTGTCTCCCTGGTAGAGGGTATACTTTGCCACTTTTTGAGAAACTTGAGCCTGCAGTGCGTCTAGTCTTGCTTGACTAAGTTTTATTTCTGTATATACACCAATTGTAATACCTTTTTAAATCTTGTTAATTACCAGATATAAAAAAGACAGTAAAATCAGACTCCGATCAAAAGTGAAGCCAAATCAAATTATTTCAAAATAAGCCACACATATTGTGTGCGTGGTGTCCACTTCGGTATACTGCCAATACACGTATCATGTATCATGGAAGAAAGATACGGCACCATGGCGGGGGTTTGGATATCATGTCAACGTTATCACAGATTGGTATTAACACAGCTACATGTGATTTCGGTTTTAGCTAGGACTTAAAAAGGGGAAAGGCAAAATGTGGAGGGATTGTTGAACAAAATTGTTGGAGCAAGGACACGTCAGTGAAGGTACCCGGTGTAACAAGAATGGAAGTCCGCTAGGAACCGTATTCCACTTCCCATGACTTTATACGGGTAACATTCGTCCCACATATTAACCTCAATATTTCAACTAACCCTAACCTGTACTAATCATATTGGAGCCCGGACTTCCAACGTAGGACTACTATTCCCGTTACACCGGTTACTGTAGATAGACACCCGACCAGCTGTGCCGCATCTGTTCAACTCAAATCTAATAATACTGCCATGCTATACATGTATTTGTACAACACCCACGCCAACAAAACCATTTATCCAATTAGTTTTTCACAGATAAATGATAAGATGACTAAGCAATTGTCTGTGCAGAGTTTGTGAGAGTGACTCATCTGTCTTACTTTATAAACCCACCACACCCATGTTTCGTGGTTGGTTGAAATTTGCCCGCTAAATGTTTTTTTTTTTTTTTTTTTTTTGGGGGGGGGGGGGGATTGCGAATATGGGGATGTTTAAAAAACATTTGATGAATCGTGTTTGTATGTTTTAAAAAACGATACTTAAAATACACACGTTTGGGGTTTTAGTAAATGAAGTAAACCAAGCACCCGTGCATTAAGTCATCTACTAGCTGTCCTAGATCGTACATAGAGATTGTATCTTAATTACAAAACAAATTAGGCTCACATTGTATCGTTAATTGTTCAACACTACCAGACGTCTGTGTGACATTAAAAGGAATCATTAATTGCTGGTTTTCACACGCCCTGCCTATTCTGCACCTTTCTGTAATGTCAATAGTTTAGGTGTCACATACAAATGATACAATGGCGATTATGGCAGCACTAAACGTCTATGTTTAAACTCTTTGATTAAGTGCTCGGTCACTACTCTATGGTATTATATAACGGGCAATATTCTTTGCTTTGTGCTCTAAATTTGATTCAATCCTTTATATGATATATTTGCTTGGGTTAAAACAAATTAACAGTGCTAATGCATGTTTTCATATTGTTCGTGAAGGATCCGTTGGTGCCGTTAGGATCTTATTGGCAGCCTAGGTAATCCAAACTTAGTAGCATTCTCAGATACCTGTATTATATTTCTTATAGCACAAAGCTCAAGATAAATTTATCATTTCAGATTGAAGTCTGATTTGGCCTACGTTTTTCCTTTTTTTTAAACAAAACTGATAAGAATATATGGGTGACCTTGCACATTAATACTGAACGTTTTGATAATCCCATTTCATATCGACCTATTTTGTATAAAATATACAGAACGCCGCGGATTACTGCAGCTAGATACCCGGCATTTCATTGGCAGTTGATTGTCATTTGGTTAGCAAAAAGAAAAAAACGTTCGATCGAGTTTGGAAAGTAACGGCGATATGCAGCAGCGCCATAGAATTTGCCTGCGTATTGGACAATTGTGGCAATAACGGCGTCCACATGTTTCAATTACAGTGAGCTGAACATTGGCTGCGATTTAAAAGATAAAATGATTGTTTAATGACCCGATTGTAGACCCTCTATTAAGTGACCGGCAAGCGAACAGGCACGCCTGGATGGGTTTCCTTGAGAAGGACTTTATTTGATTCGCTCTCTATCCAAGGAGCTGTAATTGTATCGAGTCCAGAACAGGAGAACGCTGTACTTAGTGCTTCTGGCAGGTAGGAGCGTTCTCTGAGGTAGGCAGATCGTCCAGATGTATTGTACTGCTGAATTTAGCTGATGATAAACGGTTACCAAAGGTCACAGTGCATTGGTATGCATCTCTAGATAGGTAATTATGTATTCAAGGAGTATTTTGCCTGCTTCAAGATATAAAAAATTTGTTAAATTTTTTAGACCTCGTGCACGATCCTTAAATATTGATGTTTAGCAGATGAGCTAAATGACTACAACTTCCACGTTTTAAATTTTTCGTAGCAGTTGTATTCACTAACAACTTACACAAAAACGCGTTTTCTATAACAATACTGCTTTAAACGTTTATCCATTTCAGAGATCCATTTTAGAGAAGATCACTACATTAGCTGATGCAAGCACTCTGTTTAAAGGGTGAATTGCTTACTGAATACGATTTATTTATTGCCTTCCTATTGTTTAACTGCAAAGTCTTACATTATTATTATTATTATTATTATTATTATTATTTGCCTCACCCAAATCATTGTGTGTTAGGTTTCCATGTCGTTGTAATGTAAATACCCGAGGGATCCACACAAGATATCATTTGTCATATTGTGTTTTGTAGAAGCTTTCAATAGCTGTCAAAGAAAACGCAATTTTCGTTTCTTTTAGCGTAATCTGTAGATTTGTTATCAGCCTCTGCGGGGTTTTAATAATAGCAAGAGTCCAGCAATTCACTTCATGCGGATGGTTTTCATAACTGATATGGTCTCGGGATTCCAAATCCAGGACACATCTTCTAATTCCCTGCTACATGTAATGAAAAAAAAGCCGAGTGGATTGTAACTGAATCTTCGTAATTACATTTGACTGACGGATCTTGTAGAAATGACGTGGTGAAGTAACTTAAATGTTTGTCCTGAAGATTTACTATCCAATAATTCAGTTTGTGAAAGGCGTAGTTTTTCACGGAAAGTGAGAAGACGGCTGCGTTGTTGTCACCAGGATTGTTGGCGCACAAGTACATTGGCCTATATGTAGTAATATTCTACCCCCTTTTACGTTTGAAATTGCATTCATATGACTCATATTCTGGCGCTTTTAAATGTTATTTTACCTCTCCCCTGTGGCTGGCAGAATCTCACTGAATCCAATACTTACCAATGTGTTTTAATGGACGCCTTGTGTAGAATCTTTAATGACTTCTGGCAAATAACGCTGGAGATGTTATCCAAATACCAGTATAGCTTTTTATGCCTATTCAGAGGTCCTTAAAACGAATTTGATTTGTAAGAATCTTTTTGCTTTTCAAAAACTGCGTTGACTATTTAAAAATGTGTATTTGTCTAATGATTAGTTCATCCTAATTATATGTTTTAACTATTTTTTCATTCATACTCATTTTTCTTAACCTTATTCTATTGCAGTAGGTCTTACTCCTATAAAGATAAGTGTACACCGGCTGCCTGTCTTTAAGGAGTACTTTATTATTATCTGTCTGTACTGACAACGATGTCAAGCCGCTAATTAAGCACTTCACATATCTCTATCAAAACGTTTTCTTTTCGAAAGCATTCCTATAAATCCCGTTTCTGCCAGGCATATTGACCCACTCCATGCATTAATTAAGTGTATTTGCAAACACACACGAATCAATGTAACAATGTAGGTTTAAGTCCAGACTTACTGGCACCATCAGCGTCTCTTATGAAGAGTACATCTCAAATTAACTGCCATGACGTCATAGCTGTCAGCGCTGTTGCAACGCTTTAAGCTCACGTAGTGTCCGTCATATTGCCGTTGGTCTCATATATACATGGGTCCATGCTGAGAGGTGAATTGACTCCCGGGCATGAAACACTACTTTTGTGTGTAGAAGAACAGATAGTTAGGGTTTGGGATTAACATAAGGTCAAACTGAATCAACATTTATTTGCAGTATGTGTTTTTTTTACTTCTCGCTGATATAAATTCTGCACGGATTAAGGTCATATGGTATACCATATTCATTGGGTACTTGACAATTTCAATTGCAACGTAATCGTTTCTTTTGAGGGTGACATAATTGAACCAGTCGTCTTTAAATTTTGAATTTTTATATTATATTTTGTTTTCTTTTCTAATATTTTCAGAAACCATTTGTGTTGAATTCAAGGGACGGCATTGAAGCTGGACACATTTAAACCATAACCACATGCATCGTAAAGTACATAACACCCCGTTAACAGTGCCATAGTGCCTAGATACCGCTGTAAATAGACACATCTCCGGAGGGTTGAAGAAAACCAAAGACGCGAGACCAGTTTGCAGCTGTTAATCGTCAGCTCATTACCCAGTACAATAACGGAGCTGTGATTGCCTGTAAATTGTTTCATTACTCAATCGATGCCAATGCCAGGGAACACTCTGCACAGCAGTTGCCAGAGACTGCACACAGCAATCATCCCCTTGATGAATGTTACATGTGAAGGCTAATATTTGACTGACAGAGACGGTCGATCAAACCCACAACTTCAGTGTACAATCCACACTGTAACCTGGCTCACATCACAGTTTTAAATTAGCCTCTACTCAACATGCAGTTGTACGGTTTCACTCTGTTTGTGTTGTTCGCCTCTGGCCTAGTATTTAAAACCGCACAAAGAGATCCAATGTGCCCTAAGATGTGTCACTGTATTAGCCGCCTTAATCAGGTAAGCGGCGTCCACGAGGACGTCACTGACTGTTCCAGTGCATTACTGTCTGCGTTGCCCCAAGGCGTGCCCAATACCACCGAAATCCTCATTTTAAAAGACAACAGGCTGTCAGATGTTGACGGAGTATTCAGTTTAGAGCTATCACGTCTCGTGACGCTAGATGTTTCCTACAACAAACTCAACCGTCTTTCCAAGATATATCCCTCGGATGAAGTCCCACGGGCACTCTTTGAGCTTACTTATTTGAAAATAGATTGGAATACTATCGATTATCTAGGAGAATCGCTGTTTCGGGGATTGGACAGTCTAAAGGAGTTGTCGATTTCCCATAACATTATCGAGAGAATCCATCCAAAAGCTTTTATTGGACTATTTAATTTGACCCGTTTAAATCTCAGCGGGAATCGTCTGAACGGTATTGTCGCCAGTTGGTTCGTAGATCTCTCAGAACTGCTGGTATTAAATATGGCTGGAAATACCATCGATTCTCTGCAAGCCGGCGTTTTCTCTTCCTTAATTAAGTTACAGGTTTTGGATCTCAGTAACTGTGGATTAAGAAGGATAATGCCAGATGCGTTCTCTGGTTTAGAGGTGTTACAGAAGCTGTATATCCAGCACAATAAACTACACAATGTACCAACATTGACTTTACAAGTCTTTGCGGACCTACGCTTGATGGACATAAGTTCTAACAGAATAACTCAGTTGGGACCACAGAGTTTTTATTCAATTAATGTGAGCAATTTGATACTTAACGATATGGAAGGTCTGACGATGATCGATACCTTTGCTTTTCAAAACTTGCCACGGCTGTCGACCCTAGAGATCGAGGGCAATCGCAATCTGGAGTATATCGACTCTAACGGTGTTTTAAAAGTGCCAAATCTGCAGCGATTAAAGCTGAGTGGAAACAACATTCAGTCTATACCTAGCAAGCTATTAGGACTCCTTCCAGATAACGTTTCTCTTGACATTCAGCGAAACCCATTATCATGTGACTGTAACATTGGGTGGTTGGAAAATGCTAGGAGAACTGGGCGTGTTGTTATAAATGGTTTTGAAAATTTAGAGTGTGTTAGAAACGATAGCAGGTGGTTGGTTTCTGCAGTAATCGGGAACACGAATCAAGATGGCTGTTCACCTATCATAACCCCTCGCCTACCATCAACGGTCAAACAGCTCGTGACAAAGCCGGTGGTAATGAGGTGTCTAGGAGCTGGCAACCCTGAACCGGATATCCGGTGGAGACTGCCCAGTGGCTCACTGTGCAAATCTGGGTCAGTTTGTGTCAGCGTGAATGTTGACCAACACGGTACATTGAATATACCGCGTCTGGCCCCATCTCTTCAGGGAGTGTACACGTGTCTCGCTGTAAACAAAAACGGCAACATCCGGGCACCTATCAACGTCACTGCAGAGAAATTCAAAACCCATGCGCTGATCCTGGAAATTGGGTCAGATTTTCTGAAGTATACGTGGACGGATTTAGACTGGGTGAATCATTTTGAGATGCAGTATAAATACGAAGTTCTGTTGATCCAGTATATTAACAGAGGCCACGATTGGAGAATACTGCGCAAATTTGACATCAAGCCGTATATGAAATACAGCACATTTAACGGTCTAAAATCACAGCAGTCCTATGGTGTTTGTATTACGATAGACGGAGAACATGATAAGGCTTTAANCAAGGCGTGCCCAATACCACCGAAATCCTCATTTTAAAAGACAACAGGCTGTCAGATGTTGACGGAGTATTCAGTTTAGAGCTATCACGTCTCGTGACGCTAGATGTTTCCTACAACAAACTCAACCGTCTTTCCAAGATATATCCCTCGGATGAAGTCCCACGGGCACTCTTTGAGCTTACTTATTTGAAAATAGATTGGAATACTATCGATTATCTAGGAGAATCGCTGTTTCGGGGATTGGACAGTCTAAAGGAGTTGTCGATTTCCCATAACATTATCGAGAGAATCCATCCAAAAGCTTTTATTGGACTATTTAATTTGACCCGTTTAAATCTCAGCGGGAATCGTCTGAACGGTATTGTCGCCAGTTGGTTCGTAGATCTCTCAGAACTGCTGGTATTAAATATGGCTGGAAATACCATCGATTCTCTGCAAGCCGGCGTTTTCTCTTCCTTAATTAAGTTACAGGTTTTGGATCTCAGTAACTGTGGATTAAGAAGGATAATGCCAGATGCGTTCTCTGGTTTAGAGGTGTTACAGAAGCTGTATATCCAGCACAATAAACTACACAATGTACCAACATTGACTTTACAAGTCTTTGCGGACCTACGCTTGATGGACATAAGTTCTAACAGAATAACTCAGTTGGGACCACAGAGTTTTTATTCAATTAATGTGAGCAATTTGATACTTAACGATATGGAAGGTCTGACGATGATCGATACCTTTGCTTTTCAAAACTTGCCACGGCTGTCGACCCTAGAGATCGAGGGCAATCGCAATCTGGAGTATATCGACTCTAACGCTGTGTTAAAAGTGCCAAATCTGCAGCGATTAAAGCTGAGTGGAAACAACATTCAGTCTATACCTAGCAAGCTATTAGGACTCCTTCCAGATAACGTTTCTCTTGACATTCAGCGAAACCCATTATCATGTGACTGTAACATTGGGTGGTTGGAAAATGCTAGGAGAACTGGGCGTGTTGTTATAAATGGTTTTGAAAATTTAGAGTGTGTTAGAAACGATAGCAGGTGGTTGGTTTCTGCAGTAATCGGGAACACGAATCAAGATGGCTGTTCACCTATCATAACCCCTCGCCTACCATCAACGGTCAAACAGCTCGTGACAAAGCCGGTGGTAATGAGGTGTCTAGGAGCTGGCAACCCTGAACCGGATATCCGGTGGAGACTGCCCAGTGGCTCACTGTGCAAATCTGGGTCAGTTTGTGTCAGCGTGAATGTTGACCAACACGGTACATTGAATATACCGCGTCTGGCCCCATCTCTTCAGGGAGTGTACACGTGTCTCGCTGTAAACAAAAACGGCAACATCCGGGCACCTATCAACGTCACTGCAGAGAAATTCAAAACCCATGCGCTGATCCTGGAAATTGGGTCAGATTTTCTGAAGTATACGTGGACGGATTTAGACTGGGTGAATCATTTTGAGATGCAGTATAAATACGAAGTTCTGTTGATCCAGTATATTAACAGAGGCCACGATTGGAGAATACTGCGCAAATTTGACATCAAGCCGTATATGAAATACAGCACATTTAACGGTCTAAAATCACAGCAGTCCTATGGTGTTTGTATTACGATAGACGGAGAACATGATAAGGCTTTAATGAACTGTAAAAATGTAACAACACTTGACAAAGTACTGGACGATCATTATAGAATGGTACGTAATTACGTCTTGGGCATCGGATTAACTGTATTATTCGTGGGCGCCGCAGCCACCACGGTTTGTTTAGTGCTTATAAATAGATATAACAGGCGACATGAACGGACGATGTCGTTTCTATGTGGCACGGGGCGTCAGTCCAGATTATGTTCCGTTGAAACAGACAGCCCATCTGAAACATTCCCAATAAGTTACGAAAACAGAGGTGCGTCCTCTGAGCCGGTGTTTAATGAGGACGATCTGGAGGAGATACGGGAGTCCATTTCGCTCGCTCGGTCAGGATCCACTGAGAGTCGCCAAGCTTTTTCTGGAAACATCGATGAGTAATGTACAGCTGAATAAAGTCTTTTCATTTCACTTCAGGGAGCGCTATCAGTTCATATGCTGACGAAGTATTGTGCTTTTATCGAAGATTGAACAACAAAGCATAAACAGATATTATGTACTTTTTCTGCAAGTCTACGCTTTTTAAATCTAGTGTGCATTGTCCATTTCTCGTCGTTTTAGCTGTTGAGGTTCACTGAAAATTTCGTTGGCAGTAGGGCTTTTTTTGGTAATATACGGGATTAAAATCCATTTTTTGCTGTAGCTGAATCATAGTCTTGGCCTAGTGAGTAAAATATATCTTTTTTTTATGGAAAATAACTATGAGTATGTGGATGATTCATTTGTTCAATAAAAATCTGCTTCCCATCCGTATACATTAGCACTTTACGTTTGACATCGAAGTTAAAAATCAAATTAGCGGTTGTCATTGTCAGCAGTTAATCATTACTTTAATAGCGCCAGAATTCCTGTCCTTAGCAGCTTCAAATGCCTTCACGGAATCCATGAGATTAAAGCGATGGGTGATCAAGGGTTTAACATCAACTTTTCCACTCTCCAGTAGAGATATCGCTTTTGGGTAACTGAAATAATTAAGATGGAGGCTTTGTCGTGTAAAGTGATTGAAAAAGATTTTCTCATATATTTAACATTGTCCCTAATTAAAATGTTAAGCTATATGAACACAATTGTCTCTACACTCACCAGTTGGCGTATCTGAACACACCCTTGATATCCACTTCTTTGGTCGCCGCTAACACAATCGGGATAGCTGGCTGCATTGATCCACGGCCTATCAGTACAACACTTCCACCTGGCCGAGTCGCCTGTAACAACATTATGATATTGATATTGATATTGATATTAAGAAAAAGTGCCTCACGTGATAGAATGCCGTTCAGTCTTAATACAGAGAGTCTAATACCAGATTTGCACTCTTTAACATGTGCGGGCACTGCTTCTCCAGATATTTGAAACTGCGGTACATAAAATTATGGGTATGCACACAGTGAATAACAAAGAGAAATAGTTTCCTTATTATGATATCTCAAAATAGTGAGACGGGATTTCAACGGCCTATAAAGTTCATGGTTGGCGGACTTCAGCCAGCACTCAGCCGTACGTGTATTCCTGTAGTCAGACTTTGGTCGGAGCCACTGCATTCTAACGTCACGTGGGGATGACACCCCAGGGTGTCCTGAATAACCCCTGCCAGAGCCTCGCAGTCACCAGTGGTCACTTTGAGGACATGGTCAGCTCCCAGACTTCTGGCGGCAGATAGTCTGGTGTTGTCTATGTCTGGAATACAACAAGATTGAATACAAGTTTGTGCTAGTTCGTGTTTCCATGCTTAAGTTTGGACTGTTAAACTGGAATAACCGACAGCGTTAAGTCGACTTTGCGATCGAACGCATGACCCAGAATAAATGTACTTGACAAATCTACAATGCTTATACACATCACTGAGAGTGAAGCTTATTGTGAAGAAACTCGCAATTTGTTTCCGAGGCTCATGCCAAACATCAGAAGAACAAGGTAGGCCTACGTCACATTTTGATTTCTTACGGAGACAACTTGAAGACTTAGATGGACAGTCATATATGTTAAGATCTATTTTCGGATTTAAGTCGTTTTGTGAAACAGGCTCCCCTAGCTAATTCTGAACTTCTGAAGGTATGACTTACCAGTAATACATACTGCCGAGGCCCCCAGTGCCTTGGCCACCATCATCGCCATTATCCCAACTGGACCTGTGTGAAAATAGGAAGAGCATGTCACGTAATATGATACATCTTACTCTTTTATTTGTCAAATGTCACTTGATAGCAATTTTTGTGAAGAATTTTCATAAAATAATCACAGTTTATGAAGCGACAGAGTTCTTCTGTTAGGCTCAACGATTTTAATTAACTTTATGCCATTTTTCAGAAAGATTTTTATCAACACGTGGTCTTTAATATCATCTCAAAAGAAGCACGCGTCACAAATACATCAGCGAACTAAGTCTGTCGATAGATGTCACTCACCTGCCCCACATATCAAGACGCGACTGCCCAGAGTGACTCCACCCCGCTGACACCCGTATACACACACTGCCAGGGGTTCCACCATGGCGCCCTCCTCCATACTCAGAGTATCTGGAAGTCTGGAAAGGAAAACGTACTATACTACTCCCGGTAGAGGACCCCATGGTAGAGAGTCCGCTTCCCGTTCATTTGCACAGGAAAGCCTTGGCCTAGATTTTGACCCATTTATGTCAGGCTAACCCTAACCATTATATCTCAATTGGAGGGCGGACTTTCTGTTACGCAGACCCTCAAGTTTCGTTACACCGGTAATAAAGAAATCTCTGTGTTATAATCATATTTAGAGACATTTATGGGTATGTCTTTATTTGGTCCTTGGTGGTGTTAACCGTTTTCATAGTTGCTGCTAGTTGTCTGCATTTTTTTAACGTACTGCAATTGTTTTAATTATTTTCACGCTGAGCGTTAAATCCACTTTTCATTATTATACAACAGAGAAAGAACTTTTCTGTTTATTTTGGATACAGCATATTGTGTCGACAATTTATCGTTTGCTAATCCTGTTTTATTATAAATATGCAATAATATTCAGACAAATTACCGTCGCCCGACTCACTTAAAACAGAAGTCTGCAGCATGGACGTAAAAACGGCTCAGATTTCCGTCGATAGGTGGCGTTGCACAGAACCTCACCTCAGGACACAGGTTATACTTGCCCTCCTTGCACAGCTCACAGGTTCGGCATGGAACGCCAGGCTCTATGGCAACTCTGTCCCCTGGAGAAATAGTTAAAGACGATTTAAGGTGTTTCCAATAAAAAAAACGTCCTACTGGTACCAAGATCAAAAAGACCAAAATGTTATGACTAACTTTTAATATACAATGTTTTAAAGATTTAACAAAAGCGTCTTTAACTGTAGTAAATATTAACAACTGGTGTTGACACTCTATTTCACGGCAGTCCATCAAATTTTTTACCATCCAGGTTACATGTGTACATGTAACTGTTCGCCTTCAGTTAAATGGAATCATCTAAGACCCACAATGATAACTAGTCTCACTTACCAACAGCGAGATGTTTCACGCCCGGTCCGACTTTGGTGACCACCCCGCTCCCCTCGTGACCTATTATCATCGGGTCGGTCAGTTTAAACCGACCACACTGCCCGTACGCCCAGTATTTGATGTCCGAGCCACAGATACCTACTGACCCCATAGACAGCTGGACCTCTGGACAGAGAGAGAGAGAGGAATGTCCAAAACTTTGATGGGGATAACTGAAGGAGTGGCATCTCTCTCTCTCTCTCTCTCTCTCTCTCTCTCTCACACACACACACACACACACACACACACACACACACACACAGAGAGAGAGAGAAAGAGGGAGAGAGACAGAGAGAATATATCGATATTTTTCACTCAGACCAATTATAAAACATTTCATTTATTAAATTTAACTTAAATTAAAAGCGATACGATCTAAAGGAATATTTTGACCAAGCAATCTGATAGAGATACTGCTGTGTAGCAAAGCACTTTTCCCAGTTTGAATGCGATGCACTGAGAAGCCACACCTAGCTTACCGTTTTCTCCGGGTTCTGGGACTGCGATTTCCTCCTGAAAGGAATCAAATAAATAAGCTCAAGTTATCATTTTGGCATTCGTGATGTTGGACATCTGTTTATCCGCTTTATCTATACAGTCTATCGGAAAGGACTACCAAGGATTCTCAAGACTACCATTACAGATTCACATCATACAATTCGATTCTCAAACCAGTCAGCATCATGACTGCAAGGTGAATGTATCATCAACTGCTGCACTAAATCCAAAGTATTTTAAAAGCGTGAGATTGCTGTTTGATACTTAAAATACATCTAGAAGCTAAGGCCTGTATTTCGATATAAGCAGCAGCAAGGCCTCTACACACCCACACACACACACACACACACACACACACACACGTATATGTACATGTATATTCACAATTGCACACGCCTTTATTTGCTTGGATAGTTGTTTAGTTTGTACATGTATAATGCCTGCTAACATGAACTCTGTGCTGTGTAGGTAGGCAAATGAAGACCACAAAGCAACTCACCAATCTCAGGTCATCTTTACCGTGAAGAACTGCAGCCAGATTCCTGGCCGCCATGTTGTGGACAGTCACCCTTTACTTCCCCCAGGTAATCACTGTACACCCGTGACATATCTTGCTTACTTAAAGCCCTATCAGCCAGTATAGACGGCTATGTGTAGTTCGAAGCTGATAGAGATTTTAGGTTGACCTAAATAGTGGCAAACAATGCGCAGAACCCCAGAGCACTCACTTTGGATAATAAATAAGCAGTATTCTTGGTCTGAGCCCCGGTAATGGAGGTCGTAGTTAACGGTGTGTGTCGGCCTAGAAATATGACGAATCATTATGACCAGTGAGCAGGGGCGGACCCAAAGATATTTTCTGACAGTCTTCTAAATTATCTTTGTTGATTCATCCTTCATTTTTGACCGTCTTCTGACAGAAAAATTAGATACCCATCAATGTTAACTTGAAGACCCAGAAGACGGCCTAAATCCGCCCCTGAGTGAGCATCGTCTTATATGCTCCTATGTAAATGATCACATCAAGTACGCTCCAAAAATAATTATTTCAAGGATTCAGTCGTTTTTAAGGTGTATGTTAGGTTTTATAAGCTGTGGATCTCAAAGATAAGCATTTGGGAAATTTTCATACCTTTAGAGTGTACATTCAAACGATATATATATATATATATATATATATATATATATATATATATATATATATATATATATATATATATATATATATATAACTGATATTCTGAGCAGAAGAAAACACGACCAGGCCTTTCTTTAGTCCGTCTGGTCGTACAGCAAATTACTGTCCATGAAAAAACCATGTATCCAGTGAAAGAAATTCATGAAACAAATCACACATAGCTAAAAGATAAAAAAAAACAACAACAATACACTTGCCCAGGGTTGTGAATTAGTTAATGCTTTATTTTCTACATAGACGCTATATCAACACTTGAGCAATTATTAATTTTACGTTATCACTTACTTTTTACGTTACAGATGCATATCCTATAATCTCTATTAAACAGAATACTGAACTGTGGACGGAATAAGATGTATAACTACTGCTACAAGTATAAGAAAATATACTTCTGTTTTAAAATTAAAACGAAAAAAAAAATCAACATTTTTCAGATATCAAATATTGAATATAAAATGGGTTTGTTAAATATCTATGTACAACCTACATACTGAAATGATTCTAAAATACATCTATTCACATCTGATATGCAACGTTTGACATACATGCATGTGCGACCGTGTGTAGGAAGTGGTATACACATACATTAAACACATAATGTGAAATTATACATATTTAAATTGTCACAAACCAGGTAAACCTCTCGAAACTTAAATCTGAGAGAGAGCGTGTGTGTGTGTGAGGGGGAGAGATGCAAAGAGAGAGAGAGGTTTAAAGAGGATGCACCGTTGGTTTACTGAATACACAGCAACTTCACAAACAAAAGCCTTGGTAATGTTTTTCTTATATTATATAGTCTTTGTAATCTCTGTTTATCAATACGAGGTAGAATGAACTTTGAATTAATTCTATGCCTATATCATAAAGTACATACATGTGATACACTACTGGGAATATCATTACTAGAGACAAGATGATACTGGAACGTTACGTTTAAAAAATTTGTTTTGTATGAAAATATCTCATCCGCCTTTCAAAACATCGGTGAGAATATGTATTGAAAACATATCTATACAGGCTCATAACTGAAACAAGTTAAAGAAACGCACCGAATTTTCGATTATAGCCTAATGTATCTACATTATACAAATCAGTTCAATGGAAATTATCTGTATACTTGTACACGTCGCATTTGGATGATAAGGTTATTTGATAAATTTGATAGATTTTGATTGGAATTTGAAACAAATAAGATATCATGGAACTCGAAATGTAGGAAAGGTCAGTGCAGTATTTTTTCATCCAGTCAGCGTTATTCACAAGAATAAAAATAAGAAATACAATAATCATAATAAATACTACAAGGCTGTATTTTCCTCCTCATGTTGTGTTTCCGCGAATACTGGGTTCACACGACTAGAGGCGGCCGCGGCATGAGCTACTTGCTCGACGTCAATTCTCTCCGAGTACAGAGACCAGTTCTCTGATTTCACGCTGTCAGGTTGACACTGTGCCTTCCGCCATCTTCTGAACCCCACCGCAATCACGAGCACCACTACCACAGTTAACACTGACGACCAGATGGTGTTCCCAGTGACTGCCGCCGTCAGGTAGGCCGGGGTTTTCTGGACGATTTCTGGGGCCACAAGTCCACTTGCTGAATGGAATGTTAAATAGCATGTATCATCCTTTTTATATTATACAATGCTTGCAATGGTGTCAGCCATGACATTTAAAAAGTTTCTATTCAAATAGAATTAATGCAAAAATATTAGGCTCCTATATGTATAGGCACCGGAGATTTGATGACATATTTCACAGAAAAGCTCGATACTGCGTTATATTTATAAAGTTAAATTTATAATAAAACTAAATTTGTGCGAAATGGTTTCTCTCCTACATACAAGCAAACACAAGAGAGAGTGGGAGAGGAGGGGGAGGAAAAATAGAGACGAGAGAGATGAGGGTATGTATACTGACCTCCCATGCTATCAGATCGAACACAATAATATGAGCCCACTGTGTTCACACAGACCTCGGAGCTGGTACAGCGACCTGCGTTACATTCATTTATATCTGGAAAATATAGAGACCACATTTACTAAACCGCAAAGCGTTACAGTCATTTATGTCTGGAAAATACAGAGACCACATTTCTGAACCGCAAAGTGTTACATTCATTTATGTCTGGAATAAAAAGAGCAGAACTTCAGTCTAAATAATCCTCGCTTTCTCCTCTTAACCCCCATAATTACGTATATAAATGCGCACAAAATATATGCAAATGACTGCATAAATATCACTTAGTCATAAAAAGACGTTATTCGTCAAGTTCAACCAGGTGTAAGAGGTTTATGTGGTTGAGTTTCGTTTCATCAATAACAGAGGCCGTTTTCTGGGCGCATGACTAATTATCAATAATTCATTCATTTGGAGAGCGAATTGTTTATTATATTTTTTATTGCTAGTTTTGTTGTTCATATCGGGTTCACAAGTAATCCCAGGCAATAAACACATTACCGAGCAGCGGTCTGCGTTACATTCATTTATATCTGCAATAAACAGAGAACAACGACTGGAGGTATTATATTATAAAGACACATATAATTATTAAATATGGGAGTGGAGTAACCGTCTTCTAATTCTATTACATCGACAAAGGTGTGGAGAAAATTCCAGCCGAAGTCTATTGGCTGTGCGCGTTTAAGTAAAGCGTGATTGATAAACACCAGTGACGTCAGTAAGGATAACCGCCCGCTTTCTCTCGTGACACCTGTACCGATTTATATGCAAATGACTAGATATTATCATTTAGTCATAAAATAATGTCTTCTTTTAAGTCCAAGAAAATGTAGGGAGGCTTTATGTGGCTGTGATTCGTTTCATGAAAAAATAATAAAAGCCATTTCCTAGGCGAAAGACTAATTTTCAACAATTATTAGCAAGTTTATTATTAATATATTTAATTTGTCCGGTTTTTTAGATACAGGTAACAGGTATGTCAGGTCTCTGTGGCGCAATCGGTTAGCGCGTTCGGCTGTTAACCGAAAGGTTGGTGGTTCAAGCCCACCCAGGGACGATCGTTTTTCGTTTTCGTTCGTTACTAAAACTGTTTTGTAAGGTAAACCAAGGTAAAGTGATTTTGTTGTGCTTTATTGCCGTGTTCGAGATAATATCATTGTACAGATATGTAGTTATAAGGTGTCATTCAATGTCGTTTCAAACCTTTTCTATAACTGCGTGTGAATTCATGTTTATAGATTTCGTTTTAAAAAGTCTAAAATAATAAGTGATAAATATCACAAACCAGACTAAATGTGCCGATTTTTGTTAGTTGTCGCAAAAAAAACATAACTTTTTGTCTTTTCAGACCAGTTGAAAAAAAAAACAAAGATCTTGACTCACAAAGAGAATGGACACGGATAATCTGACAAATTTGTTATCTGCACAGCGGATGTAGAAAAATTACTATCCAAAGTAAAGCTGTCTAAAGCTATAGGCACATACCAAATTCCAAATTGGGTTCTCAGAGACTTTGCAGGCTAAATGCTAAAACCACTTTGTGCAATTTTCAATAGCTCAGTAAGGGATGGTAGCGTACCAAAAAATCGGAAATCTGCAGAGATAATACCCATTCCAAAAGTGAATCAGCCAAAGGTAATATCACTAACACCAGTTCTAAGTAAAATTTTGGAGTCTTTGGATACAGATGATCTGCAAATTGATAGAGCACAGTTTGGTGGCATTCAAAATAGTTCAACTACTCACGCCTTAGTCGAACTGACTCATAAATTACTAGGAGGACTTGAACCATCCCCCACAACAAAGTCTTATGCTCAGGTGTTATTTTTAGATTTTGCTAAAGCCTTCGACAGGATTGATCACAATATCTTAATGGAAAAATTAGAAATTCAAGGGGTATCAGACTTTGTAAGACGTTGGATTTATTCCTTCCTTTGCGAACGGTCGCAACGAGTAAATTGCAGTAGCTTTAAATCTGATTGGGTTCAGCTAGTGGGAGGAGTGCCTCAGGGCACTAATTTACAGTAGAAATAATAATTATGTTTCCGTTGTACGACGTTTTAAAAGCGTCAGAATGTTTTAATCCCTATCCTGTGAATAGAAGGGGGCGGACAAACAATGGAAAGCCGTCTAATCCCTTCAAAATTCGAACGCAAAAACACAATAGTTTAGGCGTAATAACACACAATACCTTAGGCGAGTGAACCCCATGACGCCTGTTTCTGTGGTCCAGCGCGAGCGCGACAATCCGCTGTGACTAGGTGTAATTAACAGCAGGATACATCAGCCAGAAGGTGCCCATTGTTTGTTGCGGCGATAGGATTATAGCTTTAAGATGCTAGAACCCATGCTAACGCGTGCCACTCCCGTGGCCACCTATCCTTATGTTCACTAGCTTGGCACGCGCAGCTGATCATGTTTTAAGTGTTGCAAGATATATAACTGCTAGTTTAATTTAGTATCAATTATTTAATTCAATATGAAGTGTTCTGTGGTCAAAAATTGAATTTGATAAACATGCATCAGCATCGTACATCAGCATGATCAACAAATCACCCCCTCTCAAAAAGTTTAAAGATGCTCCGNTCAAAACCACTTTGTGCAATTTTCAATAGCTCAGTAAGGGATGGTAGCGTACCAAAAAATTGGAAATCTGCAGAGATAATACCCATTCCAAAAGTGAATCAGCCAAAGGTAATATCACTAACACCAGTTCTAAGTAAAATTTTGGAGTCTTTGGATACAGATGATCTGCAAATTGATAGAGCACAGTTTGGTGGCATTCAAAATAGTTCAACTACTCACGCCTTAGTCGAACTGACTCATAAATTACTAGGAGGACTTGAACCATCCCCCACAACAAAGTCTTATGCTCAGGTGTTATTTTTAGATTTTGCTAAAGCCTTCGGCAGGATTGATCACAATATCTTAATGGAAAAATTAGAAATTCAAGGGGTATCAGACTTTGTAAGACGTTGGATTTATTCCTTCCTTTGCGAACGGTCGCAACGAGTAAATTGCAGTAGCTTTAAATCTGATTGGGTTCAGCTAGTGGGAGGAGTGCCTCAGGGCACTAATTTAGGTCCCATTCTTTTCCTTGCAATGATAAATGACCTAAAAACCTGTTGTTCAGACATTAAGTTTGTTGATAAATACCTCCATTTACGAAATTTGCAAATATGGCAAAGCGCCGCATCTACCACAAGCAATAGAGCAATTGGCTGACTGGGTCAAGCAAAACAAGGTGAAACTTAACGTAAGGAAGACTAAGTCGATCGACATAAATTTTACCAAGAATTGTAATCTTACAATAACAACACTGGAAATAGATGGTGAACGTGTAGAAAAGGCCAAAAAGTTTAAGATACTTGGTGTTATTTTAACCCCAGAACTTTAGTGGGCTGAACACATCCAAATCATGTATGCTAAGGCATGTTTAAAGCTTTTTTATCTCAGACAGCTAAAGAGGGCAAAACTGGACATACAAGATTTATCAACTATTTACCAGTCTGTAATAAGATCAGTTTTAGAATATGCCTGTCCAGTATGGGGACCAGGTCTGACTGCTGAACAATCTGAATGCCTAGAATCAGTTCAAAAGAGAGCCTTAAGGATTATTTGCCCTGGTCTCAGTTATGATGATACCTTAAAAGTTTATAACATTGACACCCTAGACAAACGTAGACACATGCTGTATCAGAGGTTTTATACAAAATTAAAAATTGTGAAAAGTTGGGACATTTATTGCCTGAAAGAAACACCCGCCCTTTACGAAACAACACCAAATTCTTACAACCAAAAGTGAAGACGGAACGTTTTAAAAATCCCTTTATTAATCATTGCCTCTTTAACTTGTAGTAATTTATGAATGCCTTTGTAATTTATAGTATTTAGAAATAATTTATTGTATTATAATTTAAAGTTTATTGTCAATTTTCTTTTAAACATTCTTTGTACAACTTCAACCTTAGGGTTGCAAATTTATATAATAAATTATTATTATTATTAACTGTCAACTCACCTATGCACTCGTGAGCGTCCAGTGCTAGTTGGTAGCCAGTATAACAGCTGCACGTGTAGCCGCCCCCATTAAGACCCTGTCCAAAGGTCGTGTCTGTACATACGTGTTGACAGCCACCGTTGTTCACGGCACACTCGTCCTTGTCTAAATATATCAACAAGATATCACAAACCCAGACTTTACACAGTTAGGATGACATGTACGTGCAGTAAGTACTTTTAGATTATGATTAAAAAAGCATCGATATATTGTGTACTGACTTGTAGAGATTAAAGTAACGTAACAAGTGGTGGTAGTGCTGTCACAGAGGATGTATGACTTAATGCCCCTTTACACTGGAAGGCGTCCTTGCTGCGTCCTTAGTGCGACCAAGAACCTGGCATCGCTGTGGTTGTAAAAAGGAGGCACGAGCATCGCTTTGGTTGCAGAATGAATGCTCAATGATAGGCCAGTTGTCGGCACGTAAAATATTGTATTTTTTTTACTCTCAAAAAGGACCGTACTGAGAGACGGAAAAGGACGCCGCCCACTGTGAAGGGGGCTTTAGAAAAGCTGTGGGACAGCTGTCACCCGAGAGGACTTACTTTCACAGTTTGTACTGTTCAACTGAATTACGACGCCGTTGACGTCACACTCACACAACTTCACGTTGGTGGTAGGGTATCTGCATCTTACATTTTCCTCTGGAAGACAAAATTTGCCATATTTTTCTTGGCTAGCATTTCATTCGCACCGATATGATTATAACTATTTTATATGCGAGGCAACAGAGCCACAGCGTATTGTCAGGTGTGTTAATTAAGAAGCCCTTAGAGTTAAAGTGACAAGTTTACAAATTGCCGTTAATCTTTATAACCATGTCAAATGTATTATAGATTTATCCATTATTTTTGAGATCCTAAATTGCAGAAATCTTTCTTTGTTAGTAGATAAATGGTAGGTCTGGGCTTATTGTTTCATTGAATAAAGAAACTAAGGATGTGGCGATCAGTTAATGTGAAACTAGATTATGAACTCCGAAATCGTTGTCCTAAAAATAACTACAGCAAAAGAGAATTTTTAAAGTAAAACAGCAAATTTCACTTACGAACACAGCAGTCAGCCTGTGCTGCCCCCTGGTAGGGTGCATACTGATTCCCGCCAATATGGCAGGTGCAGCACGTGCCTGCGGCGTCTGTGTTACAAACTGGAACATAAAATTATAAATGGATAGAAATTTTGAAACCATGCCCTGTGAAAAACATGTCATTTTCTTTTCTTTTTCATTTTGTCATTTATGTATTATGTCAGTAACTTCCCTGATCGGGGATTCAATCTTTTCTAAAAAAAAGTGTTTACCAAAATACACCATGTAATTTGAATGTGATGCTCAAAAATAGCAAAAGAAAGCAAATCTTTAGACGAAAAATATAAAGAGGTTGAAGGCGTCGGAATGTCTTCTGAAATTACGTGCGTCATTTTTCTTTGTTATCGAAAAAACGACAACGTATCAAATGAACTTACCTTGTGCGTCCACGTTCTGTATAATAAATAAATAAAGAAAGAAATATATCATTATCAAATAAAACTTGAAATGAGGTAGAAATAACGCTGATAAACTATGACTATTTTTGAACATTTTTGATTTACAGTTTTCACTTTTGTCATTGTGTAATACATTGTATACTAACGTTAGTGCTGGCACGGACATTCTTGTAAATGACACAATATGCGATACAAGTACATAACAAAATTCAATGAGCTTGGAAACAAAAATGTAAATCAAAATTTTCAGTTTAAATGCATGGGAAATATTTCAATTTGATTTCAGATTATAATCCTTTTGCCTACTTACTGATGGAGCCTCTTGAAATGAGACCCCTAGCGGGACAGCGTACGACTGCCCGGGTGCTCTACCATATAACATAATCATCATCCTAGCCTGGGCGTTGGAACTGCTCAACACTCTCACCGTCGCTTCGGTAGAAATCGCCACGAAGCCTCCGACAAGGTTTGTGAGGTCTGAGGACACGGGACTGTTATTAATATTGTTCCACGTGACCCCAGATAACTGTGTGCCATCCAGAGACAGAGTGTTCTTGTACTGGTCTTCAATGACTATCATCATGAAATGAGTCCACGTGTAGTCCCCCAAGGCTGGTAGTGTAAACCTATAATTGTTTGAGTAAGCAGTAGTAGGGATAACAGACACCATTGAAGGGTCGCCAGGTTCGCTAGGGTTAAGGTAACTTTTAACAAACTGCTGGACCAGAATCGGTTTATTGGCAACGATCCTTTGGTAGTCATCACTGGGCAGGTCAAGGTCAAGGTGACCGCCAGCAGCAGAGATGGTGTAGGACGTGACGGTTCCGGCGCCGTTAGTGCGCGTGAACTGGGTATTGGCCTCGGACGCTACGACCCTAAACAGGTCCCCGGTCGTTCTCTGTGGTATGGGCACCGTGGCGAAATCCCTGCCCCAGAGGGTCACTGGGGGTATCTGCTCCACACAGTGGTCTCTCTGAGGTGTGGCGGAAACCAGACCTTGCACGTTGGTCCTCACGTTGCCACTGAACACAGCGATGTTCTTGTTGGCTTGGACGCGCGTTCCTGTGAGGTCTGAGAAGGAGCCGGAAGTGGACTGGAGCTGGAGAGCCTGGTACTGGTTCAGGGTCACGACGATCTGGGACCCACTGGAGTACGTGAAGCCGTTGTAGGTCACCGAGACCGCATTGGCGCCAGATGCCGTGGCAGGCAACGTGATCGTTACCGTGGTGCCGTCCTCCACTGCCGCCACGCCAAACTCTGTCTGGAACTTTGGCGGGGAGTAGGACACCGTGTAGTAGTTCGTCCCCAGAGCTTCAATGGGTAAAGCTAGGTATCCGTCCACGGAGTGGGCGTTTTTGTTGTACGACCAAACAATAATATCGCCATTGGCAGACAACCGGACAGCTTTCGTGGCCAAGGTGCTCCCCTGGGTCTCGAGGTTACTATCCAGTAGCTCCTGATGGGCGTCACCGGCGTTGATGGTCCGCGTGACCTCCTGCAGGGCGCCAGCAGTGTTATACCAGCGTATGGTGACAGCAACACTGGTGGAGGACGCGGAGAGGATGTATAGGTAAAGACGACGGTTTTGGTTCTCGTCACCCACTCGGTTCTCCAGGTTCATGATGACAAATTCCCTTCCGCTTGAGGATATTTGTGTGGCTGGAAACAAAAAAGAAACAGTTGTATTGCACTAAGTGTGTGTGTTTGTGTCAATTCTCCATCAGCTGGTATATGTAGCAGAATACATCTGTGTGTGTGCTGAAAAGTTGGTAGGGACGTTTGTTTGCAAATGCAAAACTTTACAGTGCAAATGGATGATGTGGAGTTTTAATCCATGCTTATACATAAATACCTGAATTACACTGCTGTGAATATTTTAACTGCTGTGTTAATATGAAAGCTGTTTGCCATAAACGCTTTAAAAGATCAAAAGGTCAAAAACGTTAGTTAAATGGAACAGTGTGGAGCTATTCAAATCAGTTAACAATCCACTAACCTGCTTGGCGTTTCTTCCTCCCTGCCTGTACATCTGCAGGACACTGGGTGATGGGGACGCGCGAGGGATACACCCGGACGTCTCTAGTGGACAGTTGGTAACCCACATCACAGTAGCAGAAGTATGAGCCTGCAGTGTTGATACACAGCCCGGGGCAGCCGCCATTGTTGGTAGCACACTCGTCCACGTCTTAGGAGAAAAGGTAGAAGTCACTAAGCACATATATTTATACATATTTCATCATAATTCAAGGAATATGGCTGTGTGTTATTAATTATCTTACAATACACAATGTTGTTAAATTCACTCGTACTATCCACGATCAATTGTCAATTTAAAGAAAGACGAGTACATGTATACATTACATAAATCTACCACAGATTGTTCTCAGTTCAGCTTTACCTTGTGGTCCCAATTCACCCTTTTGTCCCGTTGGTCCAGTAGGTCCTATTGGTCCCACATCACCTCGGCTTCCATTAAGACCTACAGGACCCGTGGCGCCGGTGGGACCAAGAGGACCAATAGGACCTGTCGGTCCAGTCGAGCCTGTAGGTCCACCCGGACCCACCACCCCGGCGCTGCCCCGTTCTCCTTTGCTTCCTTGGACGCCCGTGGCGCCGTTACTTCCCTTGGCTCCAGGCTCCCCTTTCTGGCCCGAGGGACCTGTAGGGCCGACAGCACCGGTGGCACCCACCGTGCCGTTAGCACCGACCTCTCCCTGTGGGCCAGGGGCACCTGTCTCTCCCGTGGTGCCATTGGAGCCTTTGTCGCCCTTTCGGACCTGTTTTTGGGAAACGTACATTACAAATTATACTTGTTAGATTTGGCAGTTTGATTTGGGAAATAGCTGCAGTTGCAAAATGACCCTGATACAGTTTGATGAGATTATATCTCAAGCTGTGTCAAAACAGTAAAAAAATATTCCAACCTGGTAAGATTTTAACAGAATATAAAGTATTATCAAAATGGCAGATGGACTGATTGAATAGGACCGGTTTAGCATCTTCTACTAGTACATATCATCCAATCAATTACTGTTACATTGAATCAAATCAACACGTAAACATTACAGTCACACCAAATGCCTTAAACGCTATACCTACCTACGTCACCTGTCTGTCCCGTGTCCCCTGTTAGGCCGGTCAGTCCAGGCAAGCCTTGCATACCTCTGAGACCTACTTCCCCTTTGGTACCGTTTGGTCCCTGAGGTCCTGTCTCACCCATTGGACCCGTGGCCCCCGTCGCTCCTGGATGAAATAAGTAAGTTACACAACAACACTGCCTTGTAAATAATAGATATAGGCGGTTGATGTGACTGGTATGAAAAATTTCCTCCTAGACTAAAGCTGAAGAATGTATACATTTGGTGTATAATGATACTGATATGTACTTCTAAATATCGCCAAGAATGACGTTGCAACGTGATTTAAATAGAGTGAGGAGCATGCAAAAATATGAATAAAATTATTGTCATTACAAAAACCAGTGCCTTTATTGTCTCTGTGGTTTCTACCAATCAATCAAAACTAAATAAACAGAACAGTGAAGCAGTTTACCTGTTGGTCCCACTGGTCCCAGATCTCCTTTACTTCCTGCTGGTCCTGCCACCCCTGTCTCACCTCTTGGCCCCTGATTACCCTGGGGTCCGGTAGCACCTGTCGGCCCCCTATCCCCCACTTGACCTGCTGGGCCGGTGGCCCCTGTGGGACCCATGGATCCCTGGGGCCCGGGCAGACCTTGAATCCCCTGGGGGCCCTGGTCACCCTTAACACCCTTATCTCCTTGTTGACCAGCTGGACCCGTGACCCCAGGGGGACCCACCGCACCTACAATAGGGTGGACATATATATATATATATATATATAGAGAGAGAGAGAGAGAGAGAGAGAGAGACCACTATTGCATTCAATACAGCATACTTATATATTAGTTCCATATTCTAGCGTAACAATTAATATATAATAAAAATGACACCATCTTATATGTCCATGTTTGCTGTCTCAGTAAGTATCAATCGCACCTTCTTTTTTATTTAATGGGTGTTGAAATAATGTACTCTTAAGCTACAAAAGCGAAAACCTGTATACTTGAAAATAAATTGCCACAATGTGACACTTGATATACAGGGACAATACTGTTGTCAAAATGTCCCAAATTAACCCCTATTATACTTGAAAGGTAGTGCAGGGGTTCTGACATTGCCCAATCTATCAAAGAAAGAACATTTTCAGTGCTGTGCCGTGTGTGGGAATTGCTGTAAAGCGGTGTTAATTTCTAGTGTGACAGACGGGTTTTTAAAGAGACACTTAGTAAATGACACCTGCGTACATAAAGCGGTCTATGTAAGAAGGAAATCATTCCCACTGATTGGCTTAAAGCAGCTATTTTCAGTTAGATAGCCGTCGGGAATATTATAACCACCAAAGTTCAGGCCTAATCCAATATTGTATTTTAATCACCAACGTGTTACTTTTTTCTCATAGATGTTTTATGTTTTTGATTTTGTAGCTGAATATAACACAACGTTCATCCACTAGTCCATATAAACTTTACCGAAACTAAAGAATGCTTGAAAACAAATATTTGATACAAATGCTAATCTAGACCGTTCTCGAATCCGTATGAATTAAGACATAATCTTATTGACATTAACAACAAACGGTATTTCATTGGCACGCTCAGGGCACCTAAGTATTTTGATGCCGTGCTTAACAAGCGGGTAAACCGCTGCCAGTGACATGAAGTAGACTGTTTGTGGTTAATGTGAATGTAAACCCGGTCCGGGAACGTTTCAAAACAAAATACCATACCCTGAACACCCTGGGGTCCGGTCACTCCTGCTGTTCCCTGGGGTCCCGTGGGTCCTGTGGCTCCTAGCGGTCCGGTAGGTCCTTCCGGTCCTGCAGGACCAACACCCCCTGTGCCTCCGGTGGCGCCAACTACCCCGTTAAGTCCCTGGAATCCTCTGTCACCCTTCTGACCCTTCTCTCCATTAGTTCCACTGGCACCCGTCGCTCCGGTCGGTCCATTTAGGCCTTGTAAACCTTGAACACCTTTAATACCTTGAGGACCTGCGCTCCCCTGAGGACCCGAGGGACCTTGTAAACCTATTGCTCCTTTCTCTCCTTTAGGACCCTGTGGTCCAGTTGATCCCACTGCTCCTGTGGCCCCAACCGCACCTGAAAAATTGGACCATGTTTTGTTTAAAAAGTATTTTAATTATTTTCAGATTTTCTGATTTAGCTGATGCAGATAATAGCAAGTGTCACTGTTTAATAAAAAGCTATTGCATTTATGATTGGAAGAATTAAGCATTCCTTCCTATGTATTTTTACATTGCCTGAATGCTGGCTGCCATCGTGAAAAAGCAATTCCGTCATTATTCATAACTATTTACTATCACATACCAATAAAGTGATATTCAATATAACGCTCTGTTCATGATACGTCCACTCACCTTGAGGCCCTGAATCCCCGACGGCTCCCTTTGGTCCTGTCGACCCGGCTGGACCTACTGGTCCCGTCGAACCAGTTGCCCCGGTGGGCCCTGCGACGCCGATCGGACCTTGTGGCCCTAAGGCTCCCTGTGGCCCAACAGGCCCTAGGGCACCTTTCTGCCCTTTAGGCCCTTCAGGCCCGGCGGGGCCTACAGCTCCTGTGGCTCCGAATTCTCCCTTTTGGCCTTGAGGTCCGGTGGCACCAACGGCCCCCTTTGGTCCAGTGACGCCGTTATTCCCCTGGGACCCAGTAGGCCCTACTTCTCCTGGTGTTCCCTTTTCACCCTTAAATCCAGACGGCCCTGTAGCACCCACTGGACCACTTGGGCCTTGAAACCCGCGTTCTCCCTTTGCACCAGTGGGCCCGGTTGAACCCACAGGGCCCGCTGGTCCGGAGAAACCCTGGGCTCCGGTGGCACCAACAGGCCCTGTGAAGCCTTGAGAGCCCACGGCACCCTTTTGTCCCTTTGGTCCGGTTTGGCCAGCAAATCCTATGGAGCCAGTCGCACCGACCGGGCCTGTTGAACCCGTTGGACCCGTTGGACCAAAAGGTCCTATTGCCCCTACTGATCCGACTGCTCCAACATTCCCTTTCTGTCCCTTGATTCCAGATGATCCTTGGTTTCCGGCTTCTCCTTTCTGTCCTTTTGGACCTGCGATGCCCTGTGCCCCTACCTCACCTTTCTGTCCTTTGGGACCGGTGGTTCCCTGGCTCCCGATAGGACCTACATTCCCGACTGGGCCCCGTTGACCTGTTGGTCCTGTCAATCCAGCAGCGCCTATGGCCCCTTTACTCCCCTTTGCGCCCTTGTTGCCTTTGTCTCCAGTCGGCCCAATGGCCCCCGTGGCACCTGTCTGCCCTGCAGCCCCAGTGGGGCCAAATGGGCCTTGTGGTCCTCGTTGGCCAGTGTCACCCTTAGGACCCTGAACCCCTGTAGGTCCTATGGGGCCCACGGGGCCTGTCGGACCGAAAGGACCCAGAGGGCCCGGGTTACCCTGGGGGCCGGTTGGACCCGTAGGTCCAAAAGGACCAACAGGACCTCGCGCACCTGCTGAGCCTGGGGGTCCTTGAGGACCTGTAGCGCCTGTTGGGCCTAATGGGGTGATTAGGAAAATATAAATATGTATTCAGTTATATATACTAAACATGGTGTATATATATATATATATATATNAGTGTGTGTGTATATATATATATATATATATATATATATATATATATATATATATATATATATATATATATATTGAACATTTATATATACGATCACCATCTTTTTCTTTTTATTTAAGGACAAAAAGAAGATCACAAGTACACATAAAATATAAGCCACTTACACATTTAATAGCCAAAAATGAGAATACATCAAACTAAATTCGCAGTGTATAAATGGCATGTGGCAAGGGACATAAATTTATTTCTATAGTATCCCTGTTTTGAGGGGAGGAACGATTTTCCTTACTTTTTATGCATTATCGCTCCCTAAAATGTATTTCGCATTTCTGAGATTCACTTTTCATTCATTTTATAATATTTTAGCTCTCCATGCTTATTTTGTTATCGGTTGTAAAGACAAAATAATATGACATACAAGGAAACATGACATAATTAACCCCATAGGATCCAGTTAATGCTGACCCATAAAGCTCTGCTGTGCCCAATTAATTCTGTGAGCTTGCCTTGAAAAGCCGGGTCACCTCAGTAAATTGGTCATAATTTATTTGTTTGACTTTATTACCCATACAAAGTATACATTTTTAAAAAGCCAATATTTCGGGCTAAATGAAAATAGAATTACATTTAAATTTTACATGCAGTATCAAAAGTTATAGCCGGTTAAAAACTACATTTTCATTTGGTAATGGGTAAAATAAAACAAAGTTGATTTATCTTATGCACATCAATTTTTTATTTCTACATACATTTGCCTGAAAATTCACAGGGATGATGTCAATTATAGTAATTTTCAATCCACGAAATTTCAGCAATTTATCTCTATCAATTTTCAAGTTATGATCGTTTTGCTATCAGGTATACCAGCTTTTCAGCTCACCTGAACATCGTGGCCAGTGCTGAATAGAAGTCAAATTTTTTCACCATCTATGACAAAAACATCTTTAAAACTTATATAATGAATAAAGGAATATCATCCCCACTGTCTATATCACTGTCACTCGAAAACACCTTATCAGTGTCGTAGTTTTCAATCATTTCAATAACAATATTCATTCGCAGGCCCCTTCCGTAGTGAGAAGTCGCCATTTTGATTTTACTTTCACCAGCTAGGTCTAGAAAATCGTCGATTTCTCGCTCATATATATTTCTATCGTCCTTTATATCATAAATAAATTAATATCAACGCTACTTTCTATGTTACTGTCACACGAAAACTTCTCTTCAAAGTCCGGATTTTCAATCATTTCAATAACAGTATCCCTTCGCAGGTCCCTACCGTAGCGAGGAGCCGCCATCTTGATTTTACTTTCTCCAACNGTATTCAGTTATATATACTAAACATGGTGTATATATATATATATATATATATATATATATATTGAACATTTATATATACGATCACCATCTTTTTCTTTTTATTTAAGGACAAAAAGAAGATCACAAGTACACATAAAATATAAGCCACTTACACATTTAATAGCCAAAAATGAGAATACATCAAACTAAATTCGCAGTGTATAAATGGCATGTGGCAAGGGACATATAGTATCCCCTGTTTTGAGGGGAGGAACGATTTTCCTTACTTTTTATGCATTATCGCTCCCTAAAATGTATTTCGCATTTCTGAAATTCACTTTTCATTCATTTTATAATATTTTAACTCTCCATGCTTATTTTGTTATCGGTTGTAAAGACAAAATAATATGATATACAAGGAAACATGACATAATTAAAAGATAAATTATATTATTTTAACTGTTAGGTCACCATACATAGATGTAAAGATAAAGTGAAATGTTCACCTGTGTCGCCTTGCCTTCGCACTCGAATCCTTGGCAGATCATCTGGAAAAATATGATGTTAAACAATGTGTTACACTAACGTAAAATAAAACAGAGCCGATTAAGTTTTCGTGGATATAAAAACGTGTTAAACCCTATGCTGTGCGAACGCATTTGGCATTTTTACCACTGTGGAGCGAAATGTGTTCTGACAGTGTCACGAAAATTTGTCATGTCAGCGACACAATCAAATTTAACACAAAGTGGCAAATGAAGAGATGTTGAGATCTATGGTTAGCAGAATTGTAATTTTTAAATTGTTAAAACATTTCGTAAACAAGTTAAGCAGCACGTGCATAACTTTCAAAAGTAATTATATTACATGTACGTTTTCGGTACCCGTGGGAGTTATAAAGACTCACCTAAGTCATTGTATCTAGTGTCTGTGTGTGATGCTGAGCGAGCCTCGCTGTGTGTGAAATCTATGACCACAGCAGCCACGACCAGCACCCCTAGCCAAAACACCCTCATAGTCTGCAATATAGGAGAATGACACTTGTGAATGTGTGAGTTAATATACAGATATTTGTGTGTATAGGTATGTGTATATATATGTGTTTGTATAGACAAATATCTTTGTGCGTGAGATCGTTAGCGTGAGAGAGAGAGTGGCGAGAGAGAGAGAGAGAATGCGCCTTAAAGCGTTCATAAAGTGAAAAATATTTCAGTTAGTAAAGGAGATGACAAGGGCACTTTTGACGAAATAACAAAAACGAGATAGTAATAAGAAGTATTAATTAACCGCTCCTTCGAGAAATCAACCGGTCGACATTGATCACTTACATATATAATAGCTCTCTCTCTCTCTCTCTCTCTCTCTCTCTCTCTCACATACACACACACACACACACACGCATGCACACACTGCCCTGGCCTTTCAGCCTTTGTTTTATAAATTGACCCTATTAAACAAAACGCCTTGTCGTTTGAACTTTGACTCATAACATTATGTACCATTCTAAAGGTCCGTTGTTTACATAGTGTTCTTACAGTGCTGTACCAAACTATTGTCACCGGTACACTCCACCCAACCACTGAACACAGAGTTGAGTCACGGCTTGAACCTGTGCCAGAACAGATCTAACATTAAGGTACAGACTTTCACGTTCAGTGACGACACCTATCACTCAGTTGTCGCGCACCGTCTATACAAGCTCGAAGGGAGGGTGTACAGCGCACCCATACATGCACTGGTTCGAGCCACCTCTAATAACACGTTATACTCGAATATAGTACACGTGGTTAGCATTAAAGGCAACTGCCGGTTAAGTTTCTAAAATTTATTAATATCTTCGTTCTACAGGTATATCCACCCATGTACTAAGTATGCCTTAAGTCAAAGTTTCACTGCATGTTTGACCGTCCTCTACCCCAGCATGACAGTTCTATACCCAGTCGAGGTACCCGAGCTCGTGAAGGAGGCTACTCCCTAACAGCTGATTATCGAGACGACTTTTATGAAATAATATTTTTAATTCTGTAATAACATATGGAAGGTATACGAGACACTTTCCCTTCACATTCAATGTTACTATTCACAGACTTAAATACTTTCTTTTTCACACGGTGACTCTGTTTCTTACCTTGTATCTTGTTTTACTCGTTGACAGCCGTTGAGATTTGAACCGACACAACAATAACAATCCCCACCTGTTACCTAACCCTCGCCCTACACCTGGAGGATCACGTTCATTTCATCAAATTATCGCATCTAATCATGCGTGGCATGATGATTATAATGTATATATTTCAAAACTACTCATATACATCATCACAAGTATAAGTCGTCTCTTCACTGATGAGATAGTGTATGGTGAAGTGTACATAAGCGTGGGCCGCATGTGACAGAGTATGTGATCCGCGACCGTTAGAAGGATTATTTTTCACATCTCACTCACGACTCACTATTCAATCGCAAACATCTACCTGTCCTTTTACCTCAGTTCTCCTGCGTTCGTAGATATCCTTTTCAATACTGAATGTGATATCAAATTGATTCCCACGACGAATGAAGTTGATGGGGGCCAATAGTTAGAAAACCTGCGTCATTGTGATGGCGGTTGCAGCAGCGTATTCCCCGTACTAAAGGGTCACAAGGGTTTTGTTTACCTCTATTGTTGTGCTTGTATTCATACTGTAAAGCGGTCGACGTGTACCCTCCACGCGGGGGAATTACCCCATGACTGAAGTCCCGTTCTGTCAACATGTACAAGCACATGTCTTACTCCGCCAATTTCTAACACAGCTTTTGTGAGAAAACATTTATGAAAAAAAAATTTTTTTAATTTTAGAATTATATTTCCACTTTCAGTCACTCATCCAATTATAAAGCAACTGTTCAAAGTACTCTTATAACCTCTGCTGAATGATTGAATATACGTGACCACCTGTGCTACCGAACATTAAATGACTGTCACCTTGGGAGACACGATATATTTTACTTTGGCTCTGGATTCACTGGTTAAGTGTGAGATAATACACTGTCACCCTAGCAACACATGCCAGAACACCTCGAGCATCAGCAGGAGACGATCAAGGTGTCGCGACAAGGTGGCAGTGTATTATTTGAGAAAAAATTTATCGCATTTCGCCGAAAAACGCCCCTAAAACCAAATAAAGCACATAACGCCACGGTCATATTACATTCCTAAGTATGTCTCAGCTAATATGCTACATCTGCGTTAAAGGAAATGTGCAGTATTCCTGTAGAAAGCTGTGAGGGTAAGGGCGTGTCCTTTGCTACAAGGAGTGAGCGTCGAACTCTTAACGAGACTGCCTGCTTCTATTCAGATGCGCTGTTATTCAACCGCACCGTTCCTCTAAAAAGCTGCCTGGAAAATCACCCCTGCCACATCCATTTTCTAAACGGTACATTGGGATGCGTTGCGTTAACTTAAATCAATGTTTTTGATAATTTTTCTCTTTTGTCAATAGATAAATAAAATTAACATGATAGGCTACTGCACCCCTTGTCTTCACATTCCGTAGATCACCACGAGCAACTTAAGCTTCGCGTCCTCACACTTTGTCACTTCACCTATGCTAGCTCTTTTGTAGTTTATAAGCGTGTGGATTGATGATATATGTATAAATATAATTATCATCTTATTTACAATCGTATATTTTGAATGGTATACGCCCGTTTTCACGGTACTGTGTGAGGAAAAGGTGAATAGTTCGTGCATATCTGAATATCCAGGAAATACATCAAGGCCAAGACGATGACATCTTGTCAAAAATATGATAAAAAAAGATTCTTTAAAAGTGAGTTTTAGTGTCATTTGTTTGTTTTATCATTTAGCAGGCCCGTAGCCAGCAAATTCAAAAGGGGGTTCTTTTCATGAGAAAGCGGACTTTTTACAATGAAACCTTTGTGCACCTAGATAAATTTTACGCATAAAAGGGCAGTTCTTTCGACCCCCCCCCCCCCCCCCCCCTGGGCTACGGACCTGTTTAGCGTATCGTTTATTTATTTATTTGGAGGAAGACTGTTTACTTCGACCATGATTCATAACGGGTACATGTGTACATGGTCATACCAATGTGTATTAGACCGTGGACTCCATAGTTAGACCTGAATGTAGCGACGGCACGCGTGACTCAAACACTCTCTATAAATTTGCTATTATCTTATGACTTATTTGGCCGTTGCTTGGTATATATAAGATTTAAGTCCAGCATTGGGCAGGTCTCTATTTTGATTTGACGGACAAAGACGCAGTCGTATTGCTGTAGAAACAATATGTGGATTGCAGTAATAGCAGGTGCTTGTATCATACTTATCATCACTATACTGTTTTTCCTGAGGGCTACAACCAACGGGACCTCGCTTCCTTTATTCAGGGGACTCAGGATGAGACGCTGGGTGGAACCCCGTGACACTGTGACATGTCAAAGAATCGTGGATGACATGAGGCGTGTGTGTGTAGAGTCAGTGGGTTCAGTCCCCACACACCCCATGTTACACGGAGATATGGAGGCCTTGGGGAAGAGGATTGTTATGATTATCTATCACCACCACAAACCAGTCATGTTTAATGTGAGTACACTAATTTTTTTTCATATGGAAATCCTACGTACAGGACTCTATTGGACTCCCTGCGGATTTTATACGATTCTTATGGGAATTTTTATCGGCTATCTTATCGAATCCTACAAGATTTTGGGCCAAATTCCTATAAGATCCTAAAGGACCTATGGGGGTTTGGGCCTATGTCCGGTACGATCCTATAGGACAATATAGGACATCCTGTAAAACCCTTTAGGATTTTGGGCCAAATTCCTATAAGATCCTATAAGACCTATGGGGGTTTGGGCCTATGTCCCGTACGATCCTACAGGACAATATAGGACATCCTTTAAAACCCACTAGGATTTTGGGCCAAATTTTCCATATGAATTCCAAAAGGACCCTAGTGGCTATTTTCGAAAAAATATAACCTTTTGTAAGTTTCGAATTGGTTATATTTGTAAACACTGTGACCTTTGAGTGAACGAGCGCTCACAATGTTATTCATCTGCTACCTTTTGCCAAAAGCCAATCTCTTCGCGATGTCACGCAAGCACATGTGCACAAACACGCACACACACTCATGATCACGTGCACAAATACACATATGTACACTGATCCACTAAAGTAGACCCGCACTAACACACGCAAGTCAGCATATATGCACGCCATCATTGCACGGTGACCCCATAAATCATTTCACTTGTAACGTCCGTTGGCTACAGCCGCAAAATCACTCTCTTTTCGTTACTCCTTCCCTTACGCACCTCTAAAGAATAAAGCGGGCTACGTAGAGTTTGATGCAAACCACCAATTAAAGCCATGGGTTGCAACAAAAGTGTCGTTGGTTCACCTGACAGATAGAGAACAGTGGGAGTGGAAGGGGTTATTCTTCTTCGACATATTCTTACGATAGTGTTTTAGTTTTTTTAACCCACAAATTTCATTTCAAACCATTAATATTTACTGATGTCCCAGTCTCGGTTGCGTAGGAACCAGTGTAAGCTATCATATCAAGTGTGAGCACTTTAGTCAAATGGCACACAGTGGAAGTTCAAAGACTTTGAATGAATAGGTCGTTTGATGGAACATCATTTTATGTTCAACACGACTTTTATGAGATGTTGTAAACTACATAGGCCCTACCAGATTCCTTAAGATAGTCACCAATATGTCTAGATATATGCTGTCAGATTTTTATGCAATGTTGTTTTAGACAAAGGTGCAAATTTATATCACTTTCCTATTTTCAGGCAATTTTGAAGGCTGACGGTCTGGTAGGGTACGATGTTCCAATTTTCCACGTCGGTCTGGTGATGGTAGTAAACAAGATGAAACGCAAAGGTCTCCAGAAATTCTCAGTGCTTAACCTATTCCTACTTTTTCTCAACTACCGCATTGGAACATTTCAACTGACAGACTATGGTCGCTCTGCTAGTGGTCTCCGCCTAGCTAACGACTATCTGGACAACCCATACCCGAACTACAGGAAACCTGATTTGACGCCAAGTTCAGAGCAGGTGCTTGTTGCCAAGCACGTGATCCTGAAGCACAAACCAGACCTGGGTGTAGGCCCATCTACAAGACTTAATGTCCAATCTTTCGTGTTGGAAAATGCTCTGACAGAGGAAGAAGGCGGCTCGGCACAGCTAGTTAATGCAATGCAGGACGGAAGGAGTAAAAAAGATGAAATCAACACATTTTTGTTGTCACGTGTTGGTGACAGACAGTATGATGTGTTGCTCTGTATCGGGAAAGCAAGTATCATAAGCGCAATCCTAACTCTGGGAAAGAGGTTTCTGAAGAGAGAGAGGGTTTAACTTACATAAATTTGGCTGAACGGCTTGGGTTATAATAAAGATGTTCTATAATATTATGTACCATGGATGTATTTTTTGTTAACACTGAGTAAATCAAAAGTGTCTTCAGGACATCTAATGATGTAATCAATTCATAGATAAAGTCATAGAACCTAGTTTGCATTGAATAAAACAAAGTTAAAGAAGCTTTATAAGGTCCGAACTCGTGACACTTGGTGTGTTATGTGAACCCAGGTATAAACAGCATTTATTCATTTTTTTTACAACAAACCGCTGAACTCAGTTCAAAAACCACAACTTGAATATAAAACTACTATCCATGGTGTCACATTCACCTTAACTGACTGAACTGTCTCGTGATTCCGCACGAATTTTAAAAAAACAAAGTGATTATAGCTTCTTTCTACTCATATATTATCATATTCTATGGCCGCATTCACATCGAGTTGAGCCATGGCTCTACAAAGCCACGACCTAAATATGGCGGACGTACATGAAAGGAAAACCGCCTAATCTTTTAATAGTCTCTCCGCCTCTCACACGCCTCCCCATGCGTTGTCCCTGCGGGGGTACAGTCATAAAATCTCGGCTCCATTGGGACGACACATGGGGAGGCGTGTGAGAGGCGGAGAGACTATTAAAAGATTAGGCGGTTTTCCTTTCATGTACGTCCGCCATATTTAGGTCATGGCTTTGTAGAGCCATGGCTCAACTCGATGTGAATTCGGCCTATGTCAACGCCGGGGATTGACCTTTACTAGTTTTAAGGCGGGTATATTACACAAAGCCGCTGTTGTACTGCAGTAGAAACAATATGTGGAAGACTATAATAGCAGCTGTTTGTTATAAAATACTTATCATCATCATCATCATCATGCTGTAACCGAGGGCTGCAGCATCAAGTGAAAATTGATGTAATTTAACGGTATTAGTAAAAATAGAAACCGATTAATTATTAAAAAAGTCAGTAGTCCTCATGCACAACCCCTTTTAGCCATTCGATGTAGACGTCACACATATATGTGACTTGGACCATGCTCTCAAGTGTCCTCAGTACGGTGACCTTAATGCAGTGACCTCAACAGAGTGTGTTTAAAGGAGTGTAAGCATTCGTGACTCGACACAGTCTTTACAGAACTGAAATTATTGCTGTTATCATATAAGGACCCAACATAAGGATCCTAGTATCATATTACTTTTACGAATGTGACTTGAAAAATCATTGGCCGTGTCATGTCGCACATACATATACGCATTCTAAGTTCGAATTCAGAATAAGGCTGGACTTAGTCCTTGCCGTACATTTGACGGACACAGGCACGGTTATACTGCAGTAGAAACAATATGTGGATTGCTGTAATAGCAGGTGCTTGTATCATACTTATCATCACTTTACTGTTTTTACTGAGGGCTACAACCAACGGGACCTCGCTTCCTTTATTCAGGGGACTCAGGATGAGACGCTGGGTGGAACCCCGTGACACTGTGACATGTCAAAGAATCGTAGATGACATGAGGCGTGTGTGTGTAGAGTCAGTGGGTTCAGTCCCCACACACCCCATGTTACACGGAGATATGGAGGCCTTGGGGAAGAGGATTGTTATGATTATCTATCACCACCACAAACCAGTTATGTTTAATGTGAGTAGGAACTTCATTTTAATGAAAAGTACAGATTATGTATATCTGGTAACACCTGACATTTAACGAAACGGACTGTGTCTTGCTAGCAGCCTCCCACTGCACACCTGCAATAAATAAACGCATTCAGGCAGGACGAACCCATAAATCGTTTCATTTATTCATTTCTTAAAGTCATGCAACACGGCAAAAATGTCTTTGGTATGAATTTGGAAAGATACACAAGATATCACAGAATAAAAAGAATTATTTTGGTACATTTTGGACTATAGTTAAGGTCCCCGTTTCCTTTATGGCTGTGTAAACCAAACTTCCTTGGAAATTGTTTATTTTCTATGTATAATTCGCCATAAGATATTTATACTTTAATTTTTAGGCTATTTTGAAGGTTGACGGCATTGTTGGGTACGAAGTTCCTATTTTCCACGTTGGTTTGGTGATGGTCGTAAACCAGATGAAACGCAAAGGTCTTCAGAAAATCACTATACTCAACGTTTTGTTACTTTTTCTCAACTATCGCATTACTACATTTGACCTCACGGATGCTGGTCGCTCTGCTAGTGGTCTCCGCCTAGCTAACGACTATCTGGACAACCCATACCCTAACTACAGGAAACCTGATTTGACGCCAAGTTCAGAGCAGGTGCTCGTTGCCAAGCACGTGATCCTCAAGCACAAACCAGACTTAGGTGTTGGCCCGGCTATAAGTCTTAATGTCAAATCTTTCGAGTTGGAAAATGCTCTGACAGAGGAAGAGGGCTCGGCACAATCGGTTTATACAATAAAGGACGGCAGGAGTAAAAATGATGAAATCAACACATTTTTAATGGCACGTGTTGGTGACAGGCAATTTGTCGGGTTGTTCTGCACGGGAAAAGCTAAGCTTACCAGCTTAATCCTCTCAGTGGGAGCAAGGTTTATTAAAAGGGAGAGGATATGAGTTTTATGAACAAAGAAAATATTGGTTTGAAGTGGCAGGTTTTTATTAACTCGGTTTTGGGTCATTTTAATTTCTTTAATTAAAATGCATTATTCGTATTGGTGACATATGATTATTGATAACGTAGATTAATAACCTTTTACTGTATTTTTTATTGCTAAATAACAACAATATTTTTTTAATATTATTAAAATTATGTTTGTACAGGTGAGGTATTAGAATCAATAACAATAAAAAATACAAATATTTTAATCTGTGATTTTTAATATTTTATACAAATTATTTTGACTTTTTCTGAATAAAGGGAAACATTTTTAAAACAAGTGTAACAAGAGATATTGATATTTCAAAAATAAAATTCTATTTTCTACTCACAGTTAATTTATTCTATCTAATTCCCCTACCACCGGCAGATCAAGTTCTTTCATATTGAGCCAACAAATATTTGCAGAGTAGTTTCTAAGTCCAGCATTAGCTATGCATCCATCAAATTGGTCGTGGAATATTCTCCTGTCTCGTGGATACATGACTTATTAACAATTAATGAAAAATTCAAATTGTCAATGAAATTATACTCATTAAACAAAGCTTTCATAATAATTCGCCCCATACTCTTACCTCAATATTCCAGCCAACCCTAACCTGTACTAATCATATGGGACCCAGTATTTCTATTCCTAGGACTACCATTCCTGTCACACTGCTAACCCTAACCTGTACTAATCATATGGGACCCAGTATTTCTATTCCTAGGACTACCATTCCTGTCACACNACTATAGTTAAGGTCCCCGTTTCCTTTATGGCTGTGTAAACCAAACTTCCTTGGAAATTGTTTATTTTCTATGTATAATTCGCCATAAGATATTTATACTTTAATTTTTAGGCTATTTTGAAGGTTGACGGCATTGTTGGGTACGAAGTTCCTATTTTCCACGTTGGTTTGGTGATGGTCGTAAACCAGATGAAACGCAAAGGTCTTCAGAAAATCACTATACTCAACGTTTTGTTACTTTTTCTCAACTATCGCATTACTACATTTGACCTCACGGATGCTGGTCGCTCTGCTAGTGGTCTCCGCCTAGCTAACGACTATCTGGACAACCCATACCCTAACTACAGGAAACCTGATTTGACGCCAAGTTCAGAGCAGGTGCTCGTTGCCAAGCACGTGATCCTCAAGCACAAACCAGACTTAGGTGTTGGCCCGGCTATAAGTCTTAATGTCAAATCTTTCGAGTTGGAAAATGCTCTGACAGAGGAAGAGGGCTCGGCACAATCGGTTTATACAATAAAGGACGGCAGGAGTAAAAATGATGAAATCAACACATTTTTAATGGCACGTGTTGGTGACAGGCAATTTGTCGGGTTGTTCTGCACGGGAAAAGCTAAGCTTACCAGCTTAATCCTCTCAGTGGGAGCAAGGTTTATTAAAAGGGAGAGGATATGAGTTTTATGAACAAAGAAAATATTGGTTTGAAGTGGCAGGTTTTTATTAACTCGGTTTTGGGTCATTTTAATTTCTTTAATTAAAATGCATTATTCGTATTGGTGACATATGATTATTGATAACGTAGATTAATAACCTTTTACTGTATTTTTTATTGCTAAATAACAACAATATTTTTTTAATATTATTAAAATTATGTTTGTACAGGTGAGGTATTAGAATCAATAACAATAAAAAATACAAATATTTTAATCTGTGATTTTTAATATTTTATACAAATTATTTTGACTTTTTCTGAATAAAGGGAAACATTTTTAAAACAAGTGTAACAAGAGATATTGATATTTCAAAAATAAAATTCTATTTTCTACTCACAGTTAATTTATTCTATCTAATTCCCCTACCACCGGCAGATCAAGTTCTTTCATATTGAGCCAACAAATATTTGCAGAGTAGTTTCTAACTCCAGCATTAGCTATGCATCCATCAAATTGGTCGTGGAATATTCTCCTGTCTCGTGGATACATGACTTATTAACAATTAATGAAAAATTTAAATTGTCAATGAAATTATACTCATGAAACAAAGCTTTAATAATAATTCGCCCCATACTCTTACCTCAATATTCCAGCCAACCCTAACCTGTACTAATCTTATGGGACCCAGTATTTCCATTCCTAGGACTACCATTCCTGTCACACTGCTAACCCTAACCTGTACTAATCATATGGGACCCAGGACTTCTATTCCTAGGACTACCATTCCTGTCACACTGCTAACTCTAACCTGTACTAATCATATGGGACCCAGTATTTCCATTCCTAGGACTACCATTCCTGTCACACTGGAACATAGGAAGGCGTTGCTTTAACATAAACCAACGTTTTCGAAGTTTTTTTTTCTGTTTTGATAAAAGAAAGAAAGAAAGAAAGAAAGAAAGAAATTTAATTAAATTAAAACGATAGGCTACTGCACACTTTGTCTTTCCGTTCTGTAGATCATCACGAGGAACTTAAACTTCACGTGCTCGCATTTCATCACTTCACCCCTGAGCTCTTTTGTAATTTATAAGCGTGTGGTTTGATGATATATGTGGAAAATAATAAGCATCTAGTTTTCAATCAAATATCTTGGATGGATTCGCCCGTTGGCACGGTACTGTGTAAGGAAATTATAAGTAGTTTGTGCATATCTGAATATCCAGGAAATACCTCAAGGCCAAGATTTGACATGGAATTTTTGACAAATAACTATTATAAAAGACGATTCATGATAAAAGACGATGAGGTTTAGTTTCATTTTACTTATCATATAGCTTATCGTTTATTTATTTATTTATTTATTTATTTATTTATAAGGTTTGAGACTATACACCCCGGAAAGTGCAAATGTAGGTGTGGTAGACATATGAAAGAGAATGTCTATTCTTGCTTTCTCGTCGTTGGGGTTATAGGAACCTGTGATTTGGACCGGAATCATTTTTCCAGGGCCAAATGTTACAATGTGCATATACTTGGCCTATCCATATAGAGGGTCTATGATATATATACGGTATATACAGATAGATAGATAGATAGATAACAGGTAATGCTGGCATCGGTATTAATTGTCATGACATGTTCATTTATTGTCATGTTCACCTCTTGGGAGTACCTGGAAACGTATAATACTAAATGGCTGTAGATATCAATTGATTAGGGGTACTGGTGTAACTCGGTAACCGCTGTAGATAAAATCACCAAAATTGCTGTAGGTATATGCAGCACTGTAAGGTACGACGCACTATTGAATAATCGGTGTAATTTAACGTGATTGGGATGTAAACAGAGTAATTGAAAGAAAATCAGTTGCACCCCACTGTAGTACCTTGAGGGAAGTTCGTTTTATTCGTCCAAGGTTCATAACAGGTATACATGTATGTTCATACCAATGTGCATTAGACCGTGGACTCCATAGATAGACCTGGATGTAGTGACAGCACGCGTGACTCAAACACTCTCTATAAATTTGCTATTATCATCATGTGAATGTAAACTTAATAGCCGTTGGCAATATCTTGGTATATATATAAAATTTAAGTTCAGCATTGGGCAGGTCTCTATTTTGATTTGACGGACAAAGACGCAGTCGTATTGCTGTAGAAACAATATGTGGATTGCAGTAATAGCAGGTGCTTGTATCATACTTATCATCACTATACTGTTTTTACTGAGAGCTACAACCAACGGGACCTCGCTTCCTTTATTCAGGGGACTCAGGATGAGACGCTGGGTGGAACCCCGTGACACTGTGACATGTCAAAGAATCGTGGATGACATGAGGCGTGTGTGTGNTGTGTGATTTTTAATATTTTATACAAATTATTTTGACTTTTTCTGAATAAAGGGAAACATTTTTAAAACAAGTGTAACAAGAGATATTGATATTTCAAAAATAAAATTCTATTTTCTACTCACAGTTAATTTATTCTATCTAATTCCCCTACCACCGGCAGATCAAGTTCTTTCATATTGAGCCAACAAATATTTGCAGAGTAGTTTCTAAGTCCAGCATTAGCTATGCATCCATCAAATTGGTCGTGGAATATTCTCCTGTCTCGTGGATACATGACTTATTAACAATTAATGAAAAATTCAAATTGTCAATGAAATTATACTCATTAAACAAAGCTTTCATAATAATTCGCCCCATACTCTTACCTCAATATTCCAGCCAACCCTAACCTGTACTAATCATATGGGACCCAGTATTTCTATTCCTAGGACTACCATTCCTGTCACACTGCTAACCCTAACCTGTACTAATCATATGGGACCCAGTATTTCTATTCCTAGGACTACCATTCCTGTCACACTGGAACATAGGAAGGCGTTGCTTTAACATAAACCAACGTTTTCGAAGTTTTTTTTTCTGTTTTGATAAAATAAAGAAAGAAAGAAAGAAAGAAATTTAATTAAATTAAAACGATAGGCTACTGCACACTTTGTCTTTCCGTTCTGTAGATCATCACGAGGAACTTAAACTTCACGTGCTCGCATTTCATCACTTCACCCCTGAGCTCTTTTGTAATTTATAAGCGTGTGGTTTGATGATATATGTGAAAAATAATAAGCATCTAGTTTTCAATCAAATATCTTGGATGGATTCGCCCGTTGGCACGGTACTGTGTAAGGAAATTATAAGTAGTTTGTGCATATCTGAATATCCAGGAAATACCTCAAGGCCAAGATTTGACAAGGAATTTTTGACAAATAACTATTATAAAAGACGATTCATGATAAAAGACGATGAGGTTTAGTTTCATTTTATTTATCATACAGCTTATCGTTTATTTATTTATTTATTTATTTATTTATTTATTTATTTATTTATTTATTTATTTATAAGGTTTGAGACTATACACCCCGGAAAGTGCAAATGTAGGTGTGGTAGACATATGAAAGAGAATGTCTATTCTTGCTTTCTAGTCGTTGGGGTTATAGGAACCTGTGATTTGGACCGGAATCATTTTTCCAGGGCCAAATGTTACAATGTGCATATACTTGGCCTATCCATATAGAGGGTCTTTGATATATATACGGTATATACTGATAGATAGATAGATAGATAGATAGATAGATAGATAACAGGTAATGCTGGCATCGGTATTAATTGTCATGACATGTTCATTTATTGTCATGTTCACCTCTTGGGAGTACCTGGAAACGTATAATACTAAATGGCTGTAGATATCAATTGATTAGGGGTACTGGTGTAACTCGGTAACCGCTGTAGATAAAATCACCAAAATTGCTGTAGGTATATGCAGCACTGTAAGGTACGACGCACTATTGAATAATCGGTGTAATTTAACGTGATTGGGATGTAAACAGAGTAATTGAAAGAAAATCAGTTGCACCCCACTGTAGTACCTTGAGGGAAGTTCGTTTTATTTGTCCAAGGTTCATAACAGGTATACATGTATGTTCATACCAATGTGCATTAGACCGTGGACTCCATAGATAGACCTGGATGTAGTGACAGCACGCGTGACTCAAACACTCTCTATAAATTTGCTATTATCATCATGTGAATGTAAACTTAATAGCCGTTGGCAATATCTTGGTATATATATATAAAATTTAAGTTCAGCATTGGGCAGGTCTCTATTTTGATTTGACGGACAAAGACGCAGTCGTATTGCTGTATAGAAACAATATGTGGATTGCTGTAATAGCAGGTGCTTGTATCATACTTATCATCACTTTACTGTTTTTACTGAGAGCTACAACCAACGGGACCTGGCTTCCTTTATTCAGGGGACTCAGGATGAGACGCTGGGTGGACACTGTGACATGTCAAAGAATCGTAGATGACATGAGGCGTGTGTGTGTAGAGTCAGTGGGTTCAGTCCCCACACACCCCATGTTACACGGAGATATGGAGGCCTTGGGGAAGAGGATTGTTATGATTATCTATCACCAAGAGAAACCAGTCATGTTTAATGTGAGTACACTAAATTTTTTCATATGAAAACCCTACGTACAGGACTCTATTGGACTCCCTGCGGATTTTATACGATTCTTATGGGAATTTTTATCGGCTATCTTATCGGATCCTACAACATTTTGGGCCAAATTCCTATAAGATCCTAAAGGACCTATGGGGGTTTGGGCCTATGTCCCGTACGATCCTATAGGACAATATAGGACATCCTTTAAAGGACAANATTTAACTTAAAAGTTGCGTATTATTTACAAAGCAAAATAACATGCTGATAAATCCTTTAAAAGTTGAAATGCATCTCTCTACCGTCAGCGTACATATATGATACCTAGTCGGACTTTCCCTGGGCGTATTGACTGGCTTCGCCAAACGTGGACCCATTAACGTTAGTAGGCTACACTCCTAGCAGGGTTTAACCTCTGAGAGGTGATAGTCAAGTAGTCGCCTATTCCGTGTCTTCAATACAAGAATTGAAATTTTTGCATCTATAAAGATTTTTCGTTATTTGTGCTCCCATGGGACTTGAGTAAATGTTGCTTGGTTGCCACTTTGGCAGCTTTAGGCAACTATAACACTGGGTTCCCATATCTAGATCGATCCAACAGGATCGATCCATCTCCAAGTGGTTTCTCGCTAAATTGCTTTCAGCTTAAGCGGCTTAGATGTCTGGCTCGCCTACTGAAGCTATTAAACGATAAATGATTACCCCCTAGCAGCTTCAGTAGGCATGACAGACATCTAAGGCGCTCAAGTTGATTGCAATTTAGCGAGAATCCCCTTGGAGATAGATAGATCCACAGTTAGTGAGATAGGGTCTGGGAATGGTCCCTAAATAACCAGGATGACCGCCAATTCCAATAGAAATATTCACCTTTGCATAATAAAGGAACTTGATCTTTGCTACCACCATTTCAGCCCAACCATGCTCCAGAAACGTTTAAATGGAAGTCCTTTTAATGTTTTGTAATCATTTTGGTACCTTGTGGCAAATCCATAAAGACCACCAAGCGCCAAAGGAATGATATTTTTTAGCTAGAATCGGCTTAAAAATTAAATTATTTCACTTTTCAGACGCATGTCATCTCAAAATACAAATTTTAAATATTCGCTGATTGACACCTGAGAGCAGCCCCCTGAGTAGACTCCACGTTGCCCTAGCTTTTGTCGGAGAACCATTCAATTCCAATACACACAAACACCAATTTTGAAATACCTCAAAATGAACAGAAATTTTAAAACTGAAAGTGCATTAATCTTCCATAGAAACTCTAACTCTCTATGTAAAATGCATTTTCAGATTTTGACATGGTAACTACATCTGAATCGCGTAATTGTGTCAGACTTCAATTTTCAGGCAATTTTGAAGGTTGACGGCATTGTAGGCTACGACGTCCCTATTTTCTACGTTGGTTTGGTGATGGTCGTAAATCAGATGAAACGAAAAGGTCTTCAGAAAATCACTATACTCAACGTTTTGTTACTTTTTCTCAACTATCGCATTACTACATTTGACCTCACGGATGCTGGTCGCTCTGCTAGTGGTCTCCGCCTAGCTAACGACTATCTGGACAACCCATACCCGAACTACAGGAAACCTGATTTGACGCCAAGTTCAGAGCAGGTGCTTGTTGCCAAGCACGTAATCCTCAAGCACAAACCAGACTTAGGTAGTAGTCCAGCTGCTACTTTAAATGTCCAATCTTTCGTGTTGGAAAATACTCTGGCAGAAGAAAAAGGCGGCTCGGCACAACTGGTTAACGCAATACAGGATGGCAGGAGTAAAAATGATGAAATCAACTCATTTTTGAAGTCACGCGTTGGAGGCATGCAAAATGACGCATTGTTCTGCATCGGGAAAGCTAGGCTTATTAGCGGAATCCTTACTCTGGGAAAGAGGTTTTTTGAGAGAAAGCGGGTTTGACGCACTTTGAATTTGAATGAAATATTGAACCAACCACGCAACAGCTTTAACATGAAATCTTGCGGGCTATATATATGAAATCAACACATTTTTGAAGTCACATGTTCGAGACAAAATGACTCGTTGTTTTGCATCAAGAAGCCTGGGCTTGTAAGCCTAATCTTTTCACTGGGAATGATCAGGTTTGTTAAAAGGGAGATGATTTGGATATTATGAACATAGCCAACATGAGGCAGTATTTCTTGTTCTGGAAATTCCTTGAGGAAATTGGTGATAACAATGCCTGATATGACGGCTGGAGTAGAACATTAGAATTATTGCATTTATGACATCACAGAAAGGATATCTACCCATTGATGTTTTCTTTTCCCCGGAAAATCTGGTTTGAATTTGTATTCTTTCTCGTAGCATTATGTTAGTGCATATCCTAGTCTCAACTTCTTTAAACAATTAAATTGCATTTTTTGTGTCGGTAACGGGCATACAATTGATAAGTAATGTCATAGATTGATTACCCTCCTTTCCATCATTTTATTGCTGAATAACAATTTTGTTTATACAGATGAAGTAATCATCCATTAATACCATAAATATAAAAATGCAATCATTTCAATCTGCACCTTTAAATATTGAATATGTATTATCTTGTTTTTTCTGAATAAAGTGAAACCTTAATCTTAAAATAAGTGTAACTAGAAATAATGATACTTCAATAGTGAAAATATATTTAACAATTTAATTATTTCACTTAATGCCACCACCGCTGGCAGATCTGGTTCTTCCACTCTGAACTCAATAACATTTGCAAAGTAGATTTCAAATTAATCATTAGCTAGAAATAGATCAAGTTCGTCGTGAAATCACTAATATTATGAAATCAATAAATTATGAATGAAACTTTGCCTACTAAATAAAACTATTCTGTATATATCCCAGGTAGCATTTTAAACTCTTTTAAATATGTAGAACAATTCTTTGAACTTCCAAGCTACATTATCAAATACTACTGTCACAGCACTCTCTTTGACTTTAACCTGTCCGCCTACTAACAAAATAACTGGAGTTAAACACGACAGTTGTAAGATTAATACATGCCGTGTGATCAACGAGAAATCTATAGACGGGATTCTCAAAATTATGTGACCATTTTGATTCCAAGATATTATTCAAATACATTATCTTTCATTTAATGGACGTAATAACTTGTTTTAAAGTTCATAAAATTTGATGCAATTACAAAGATTAATAGGTTTTAATGCACATTATTCCAGATATATTAGTAGATCTGATTATTTTACTCAACCTGACCACGTCTTGAAATGATATATTACGTTTCAAAATATTTTTAGTTCTACCTCGCCTTGCAAGCACCTAATGTGTTGATATAGGTCTATTTGCCATCCTGAACAAGGCTTTTTCAAATTCTGGTAACATTAACAGTCACTTTTGTTGAATTAAAATTGTCGAATTTTGCTCCAAACTGCAAGCGTCCCTTAATGGTGTAAAGTATCAAATGGAAATAATAATAATCATAATTTGTATTGCTATATTTTGGATATACAGCTTTCGCCACATATTGCACTGACAGTTGCAGGACATGAAGGTCACATTACGTGTGGGAGGAGATTAATGCCACCCAACCCAATATATACATATCTGAGGGCTTTTTATGTCTTTGGTATTATGAGAAAATATGTCTGATTGCGTCCTGCGCTATGAAAAAATATACCATTTTCCTAATTTGCTAATTTCCTTTTGTAAATTTTTTTTCATCAATATGGTAACGTTCCTCTAAAAATAATCCAGACAAAGCTATTGACTATCTAATTCTTCAAATAAATGCTGTAATTCTTCTAATGCGTCATCCTGTAGGCCAGCCATAAGATCTTCGGAGTTTTCTTCCCATCCTATGATTTCATTCTTGTTTTCCTTCACCAAGAAATCTTGAAGAGGCTTGAAATATTCCAAGATGGCGGATGGATCAATCTCGCGCTGTCCTGTCAACACTTCCATGGCATCGGGCCAAGGTCTGCTGGAACCCAGGCTCAACATTTTTCTAGAAAAAAAGAGGGAATGATATTGGATATTGTAAAAAACAAAAACAAGATAATTTCTCATAAATTAAGAAAAGTTTTAAGCCCGTCACTAAATAAGTGAACCTTTGAGGTTTTCTTCCTCACTGATTTTTATTTTCTTCTGGGCAGTATGTGATACACTGTATTCAACAGCCACTCAAATATTTAATAATTTCTATGACTGAAAAATGGCAAAATTAGAAATAAAATGAGTTAGTTCGCGTGTTTTTTTCAACTTTTTTGTTTTCTTCAACGATTTAAACATAGATACTCAAATGTTTAAATACTAATATCGCGACAACCTCATGTAGCTGAAGTGCGCCACCTTGCGTAATAAAAAGATGCTATACTGCGTTGTTTGCTGTTACATGTACAAATACTAGCGTCGAGCCTTTAAACCAGCGACTGCACTGGAAGAGTGCAGCAAGCTGTTGAGGTACTCACTTCAGTTTCTCCCCAGCTGCCGTAGACTGGTAGATGTCGCAGTGGTGTATGGGGCCAGTATGACCGGCGGCGTCACATAGAGCTCTCTGGAACTGAAACTGGATCAGGAAACTGACGAAATACNGTATTTACTGAGGGCTACAACCAACGGGACCTGGCTTCCTTTATTCAGGGGACTCAGGATGAGACGCTGGGTGGAACCCCGTGACACTGTGACATGTCAAAGAATCGTGGATGACATGAGGCGTGTGTGTGTAGAGTCAGTGGGTTCAGTCCCCACACACCCCATGTTACACGGAGATCTGGAGGCCTTGGGGAAGAGAATTGTTATGATTATCTATCACCACCACAAACCAGTTATGTTTAATGTGAGTAGGAACTTCATTTTAATTTAACTTAAAAATTGCGTATTATTTACAAAGCAAAATAACATGCTGATAAATCCTTTAAAAGTTGATATGTATCTCTCTACCGTCAGCGTACATATATGATACCTAGTCGGACTTTCCCTGGGCGTATTGACTGGCTTCGCCAAACGTGGACCCATTAACGTTAGTAGGCTACACTCCTAGCAGGGTTTAACCTCTGAGAGGTGATAGTCAAGTAGTCGCCTATTCCGTGTCTTCAATACAAGAATTGAATTTTTTGCATCTATAAAGATTTTTCGTTATTTGTGCTCCCATGGGACTTGAGTAAATGTTGCTTGGTTGCCACTTTGGCAGCCTTAGGCAACTATAACACTGGGTTCCCATATCTCCAAGTGGTTTCTCGCTAAATTGCTTTCAGCTTAAGCGGCTTAGATGTCTGGCTCGCCTACTGAAGCTATTAAACGATAAAAGATTACCCCCTAGCAGCTTCAGTAGGCATGACAGACATCTAAGCCGCTCAAGTTGATTGCAATTTAGCGAGAATCCCCTTGGAGATAGATAGATCCACATTTAGTGAGATAGGGTCTGGGAATGCTCCCTAAATAACCAGGATGACCGCCAATTCCAATAGAAATATTCACCTTTGCATAATAAAGGAACTTGATCTTTGCTACCACCATTTCAGCCCAACCATGCTCCAGAAACGTTTAAATGGAAGTCCTTTTAATGTTTTGTAATCATTTTGGTACCTTGTGGCAAATCCATAAAGACCACCAAGCGCCAAAGGAATGATATTTTTTTATCTAGAATCGGCTTAAAAATTAAATTATTTCACTTTTCAGACGCATTTCATCTCAAAATACAAATTTTAAATATTCGCTGATCGACACCTGAGAGCAGCCCCCTGAGTAGACTCCACGTTGCCCTAGCTTTTGTCGGAGAACCATTCAATTCCAATACACACAAACACCAATTTTGAAATACCTCAAAATGAACAGAAATTTTAAAACTGAAAGTGCATTAATCTTCCATAGAAACTCTAACTCTCTATGTAAAATGCATTTTCAGATCTTGACATGTTAACTACATCTGAATTGCGTAATTGTGTCAGACTTCAATTTTCAGGCAATTTTGAAGGTTGACGGCATTGTAGGCTACGACGTCCCTATTTTCTACGTTGGTTTGGTGATGGTCGTAAACCAGATGAAACGAAAAGGTCTTCAGAAAATCACTATACTCAACGTTTTGTTACTTTTTCTCAACTATCGCATTTCTACATTTGACCTCACGGATGCTGGTCGCTCTGCTAGTGGTCTCCGCCTAGCTAACGACTATCTGGACAACCCATACCCGAACTACAGGAAACCTGATTTGACGCCAAGTCCAGAGCAGGTGCTCGTTGCCAAGCACGTGATCCTCAAGCACAAACCAGACTTAGGTAGTAGTCCAGCTGCTACTTTAAATGTCCAATCTTTCGTGTTGGAAAATACTCTGGCAGAAGAAAAAGGCGGCTCGGCACAACTGGTTAACGCAATACAGGATGGCAGGAGTAAAAATGATGAAATCAACTCATTTTTGAAGTCACGCGTTGGAGACATGCAAAATGACGCATTGTTCTGCATCGGGAAAGCTAGGCTTATCAGCGGAATCCTTACTCTAGGAAAGAGGTTTTTTGAGAGAAAGCGGGTTTGACGCACTTTGAATTTGAATGAAATATTGAACCAACCACGCAACAGCTTTAACATGAAATCTTGCGGGCTATATATATGAAATCAACACATTTTTGAAGTCACATGTTCGAGACAAAATGACTCGTTGTTTTGCATCAAGAAGCCTGGGCTTGTAAGCCTAATCTTTTCACTGGGAATGATCAGGTTTGTTAAAAGGGAGATGATTTGGGTATTATGAACATAGCCAACATGAGGCAGTATTTCTTGTTCTGGAAATTCCTTGAGGAAATTGGTGATAACAATGCCTGATATGACGGCTGGAGTAGAACATTAGAATTATTGCATTTATGACATCACAGAAAGGATATCTACCCATTGATGTCTTCTTTTCCCCGGAAAATCTGGTTTGAATTTGTATTCTTTCTCGTAGCATTATGTTAGTGCATATCCTAGTCTCAACTTCTTTAAACAATTAAATTGCATTTTTTGTGTCGGTAACGGGCATACAATTGATAAGTAATGTCATAGATTAATTACCCTCCTTTCCATCATTTTATTGCTGAATAACAATTTTGTTTATACAGATGAAGTAATCATCCATTAATACCATAAATATAAAAATGCAATCATTTCAATCTGCACCTTTAAATATTTAATATGTATTATCTTGTTTTTTCTGAATAAAGTGAAACCTTAATCTTAAAATAAGTGTAACAAGAAATAATGATACTTCAATAGTGAAAATATATTTAACAATTTAATTATTTCACTTAATGCCACCACCGCTGGCAGATCTGGTTCTTCCACTCTGAACTCAATAACATTTGCAAAGTAGATTTCAAATTAATCATTAGCTAGAAATAAATCAAGTTCGTCGTGAAATCACTAATATTATGAAATCAATAAATTATGAATGAAACTTTGCCTACTAAATAAAACTATTCTGTATATATCCCAGGTAGCATTTTAAACTCTTTTAAATATGTAGAACTATTCTTTGAACTTGCAATCTTCATAATCAACTTCTACTGTCACATCACTCCCTTTGATTTTAACCTGTCCGCCTACTAACAAAATAAAATAACTGGATTTATACACGTCAGTTGTAAGATTAATACATGCCGTGTGATCAAGGGGAATATCTTTAGACGGGCGTTACAACATTATATGACCATTTTGATTCCAAGATATTATTCCAATGCATTATCTTTGTTTTAATGGACGTAATAACTTGTTTTAAAGTTCATAAAATTTGATGCAATTACAAAAAAAATTAATAGGTATTAATGCACATTAGCCTATTCCAAATGTTTCAAAAGATCTGATTATTTTTAATCAGCCTGAACACGTCTTGATACATTTGATGATATGTTCCGTTTCAAAATATTCTTAGTGCTACCTTACTTTGAAAGAACATAATGTGATACAGGCCTATTTGCTCTCCAGAGTAAGGCGGGTTCAAATTCTGGTAGCCTTAACAGACACTTTTGTTTAACGCATATTTCCGAATTTTTCTCCGAACTGCAAGCGTTCCTTAATGGCGTTTAAATATCAAATAAAAAAAATAATCATAAATTATATTGCTACATTTTGGATATACAGCTTTCGCCATATATTGCACTGACAGTAGCAGGACATGAGGGTCACAGTAAGAGTTTATGTTGGGGGGGGGGAGCTTAATGGCACCCATCAACAATATATACACATCTGAGGGCTTTTTATGTCTTTGGTATTATGAAAAATATGTCTGATTGCGTCCTGCGCTTTGAAAAAATAAACCATTTTCCTAATTTACTAATTTCATTCTGTAGATTTTTTCACCAATTTGGTAATATTTCCTCTAAAAATTATCCAGACAAAGCTATTCACTATCTAATTCTTCAAATAAATGCTTTAATTCTTCTAATGCGTCATCTTGTAGGCCAGCCATAAGATCTTCCGAGTTTTCTTCCCATCCTATGATTTCGTTCTTGTTTTCTTTCACCAAGAAATCTTGAAGAGGCTTGAAATATTCCAAGATGGCAGATGGGTCAATCTCGCGCTGCCCTGTCAACACTTCCATGGCATCGGGCCAAGGTCTGCTGGAACCCAGGCTCAACATTTTTCTAGAAAAAAAGAGGGAATGATATTGGATATTGTAAAAAACTAAAACAAGATAATTTCTCATAAATTAAGAAAAGTTTTAAGCCCGTCACTAAATAAGTGAACCTTTGAGTTTTTCTTCCTCACCGATTTTTATTTTCTTCTGGGCAGTATGTGATACACTGTATTCAACAGCCACTCAAATATTTAATAATTTCTATGACTGAAAAATGGCAAAATTAGAAATAAAATGAGTTAGTTCGCGTGTTTTTTTCAACTTTTTTGTTTTCTTCAACGATTTAAACATAGATACTCAAATGTTTAAATACTAATATCGCGACAACCTCATGTAGCTGAAGTGCGCCACCTTGCGTAATAAAAAGATGCTATACTGCGTTGTTTGCTGTTACATGTACAAATACTAGCGTCGAGCCTTTAAACCAGCGACTGCACTGGAAGAGTGCAGCTGGCTGTTGAGGTACTCACTTCAGTTTCTCCCCAGCTGCCGTAGACTGGTAGATGTCGCAGTGGTGTATGGGGCCAGTATGACCGGCGGCGTCACATAGAGCTCTCTGGAACTGAAACTGGATCAGGAAACTGACGAAATACCTGGAAAAGTAAAACATAACATCTTCTGTCAGTTAGTGACATTAAAGGGATAATAACTCTTCGTTTTAGCCAAAAAATTAATTTTCCTGGAATAAACAACAATTTTCCCATACTTACCAATGGTTAATGAATCCATTTTTACATTCAAAGTTAGTCCCTGTTTTTTTATTTATTTATTTATTTATTTATTTATTTTTTTGGTTAAAATCTCTTAAGAGATTTTAACAGAGTATAGCCAGCAATGAAGGTCACGTGGTCTAAAGACGAGCTCAGATATCAGAATAATAGCTATACCTGTAACTGTCGTTTTTGTGGTAAAACAGAATAAATTATATTTCTATGAGTTATTCACAATGTTTTTTATTGTGAAATATATATCTCATACAAAGAGTTATTATCCCTTTAATATTCCAATGAACCATTAGTCGCTTGAACCTTCAAAAACATTGGAATAAAAATCAGGTCAGATATCTGCCGTTTGAATAAAAAAGGTTAATCTGCTGCAAACGGCGCTAACGCGTTCCGTTTCTAAACATTTATCAAATTGATACACCTAAAAGAAAAGGGATTATTCGAAACCCTACACTATAAAAACCAATTGTCCAAATACTTTTCAAAATGATACCCCACTCCTCCTTTAATTGACTTCCTTACCTAATATACGGAACATTAGCTGGAACATGGAACTTAGCACCAGGGTCAAAGTCCAGCTCAGAACGTGGCACAGGGGGAGCAATACCTTGATAGCGTAACCTTTACATGAAATCAGAAAACATTCACCTGTTCATTTATGAATAAAGTTTAAAGACATGACGAATTAGTATAATTAAGACTTTGAAATCATACTTTGAATGTTCAAAATGTAAAACCGCAATGTATTTTATTTTGACATCATTTCGGATCATTACAAAACACATAAATCAAAAAGAATGCGCTTTTAAACTATTAATTAAAGTCTATCAAATGACAGAAAATGAGTGGTGCCAGTCAATCGTTACCTGAGGTCCCACCACTTCTGGTTATAGTTAGAGGCGTTAGTGTGCCCCCTGAACACATCCCACCGCCACTTGTCAATTAGGAGACCAAATGGTAAAAATGCCAGCTTCTGTAGCGCCATCTTCATCAGGAAATTCAAGTCTTGCTCTGTTCAGAAAATAATGTACTGGTACAGCACTGGTTATGAGCAATAACACTATGTCGATATTAGTGTACAGTTACACTTATTCATAAAATATGAAATCGCGTGTAACGAGACATTTAACGTCATTCAGACCTTTATTTTGCCTGAATTAAAAGGATACCGAGCGTTTGACAGTAAGTATAGCTGAAGAAATGTGCTCTTAAAAGAAAATCTTGTTAATACCCGTGAATGATTCCTTCAAAGCCCTGAAATCAACTTACTTTCCCTTAATTCCTTATCATCCCCAATATCATCCAACAATTTCAACTTATGCAGATGTTCGGGGGTGGCTACAGACAAAGCAATGGTGTCTCCCACTGCCTCATGGAACCCTGCATTGGCGCCGTTCCTGTAGATATCCGGCTGGTGAGAGTACTGCATGTAATACTGGACGTGGCCCATCTCGTGGTGGATCACGTACAGGTTGTCATAATCTATCTCAGTACACATCTTTATTCTGAAACAGTATTAATTTACACCCTAGATAATACAAACTAATGCTGACCTTACAGGTGTATCAATTGGAAAATAGGGCAGGTAAAATGCAATGGCAATCGCCTGCTAAGAACTTTATCTTTGGTTTCACTAGTACTATATTCCTTGACAATATAAATCGAACATGCAATTTCTGTCTCCCGTTTCTCTACTTTCCAGACATACCGCGACATTTACTGTTGAATAAGATTTAAGAGTTATCATGAGCTAACAGCCGTTTCTCAAAGACCGTACTAGTTTAGCCATTACCTATAATCGCTGGCATTGTGAAAATCTTCCGCTGAGGCGTGGCACTGGACTTCTCTGCCGTCTGTGGGTTTGACTACCATTGACTTTTCCCAGAACTCTTTTGTCATGTTATCCATGCCGAGAGAACAAAAGAACGCCTCGGCTGTTTTAAACATCTTTTGCACGGTGTAGTTTTGTTTCTTCAAGGCACTGGTGACGTCAACACTTGGCACATTGGGATATGGTTGCAGCAAGTCTAAGATAAGGTCCCATTGTTGTGCCCACATGTTACCTGAAATAAAACGCATCATAAGCTCCATCACATCCTACCAATGGGTAATACAGGATTTAAACAAGTAGAAAGAACAACTTTTCCATGATACGTAGGGCAAAGCGTTAGCGAAACTGCTGTCGCTAGCTAAACTCAATTTGGGAGGTAGCCCATGAAATGGTGAAGGACGAAGCTAAGTGGGTCCGCCTTGCTCAAAAAAGTGACTATCTGACTCACGTCACTGACACTCATGCTCTGTGTCAAATTTGCACAATTCTGACTTGCCACATTATTCTTGTTTTAAACCTTTCCAATGTGGATAGAAATGACCAGTGATTAAAAGTGATGTGAAACAATAATGCAAATACTACACAAAATATGTCCGTCACTAACGTGACTGAGAGCGTCCCTTTAATGGAAGTACCCCTGTTTCTGCTCTAAGCAATTCTGGCGTATAAGCACCATGTCCAATGCAGATGAGGTCACTCACCCAGTAAATGCGCCGGGATAGGGCCAGTTGGACTGACATATTTCTCTCCGTACTGGTTTATCAGCTTCCTCCTCACGTACGCGTGAAGCTGTTGGTATAAAGGCTTCACTTGGTCGAACAGGCCGTCAACAATCTTATCTAAATTTTTGTCTTCAAAATTCGAAATTCTCCAAAACTCTCCCATATCAGCAAAACCTGAAAATTCAATAAAATCAAGTTTTTACAAAATGAGAATATTAGGCAGAAAATCGTCTAGAAATCAAACTACCGACTCGTCTGAGAAAAGGCATATTCTAGAAAAACATAAAAAGTTCGTAGAGCTCTACAAACCGTCGTAAAATTTAGAACTGAGTGAACATCAGTTTTGAATTCTGTATTCAAAATGTGGCACTCAAATACTCCTTTAATTGTGAATACATATATTATATCTCTCACTTAATATTTAACAAAATTGTGTGTGTGTACATGTACGTGTGTGTGTGTGTGTGTGTGTGTGTGTGTGTTTCGGTGTGTGTGTTTGTTTGAGTGTGTTTTACCTTAAATCTTCAGTCTTAGCATAGAGTTATTTTCTAAACGAAACCATACCGTTCTCCTTTGCCGCCTTATTTTGAAAGACAACAAACTCCCGGTAGAGGTCCCTAATGGGCGGCCCAGTGACGTCACGCCAGCTCTTCCAGGCCCACAGCAGCTCGTCATAGTCTCTGCTGGTCATCATCAGGTTGACCAGGTCCGGTTCCAGCGGAAGGCAGCTGGCCTCGGAGTGGGGCCGGCACACTTTGCCTTTGTCGTATATACTTTCCATCTGAGACAGCAGGTAGGACATGCGTCTGGAAGGAAATTGTCTTTTATAATGGCATATTGTATTGTATATTGTTATGGTGTTGGATACCTTTCATATGGAGAAACCTGCAGATCACGATATCTGGCGAAAGAACCAAATGAAGAACACAACACGACTGTTCAAAAGTATCACATTATTTAGAGTATTAATTGTCAAAGCACCGTATTTATAAGTGACGTCATAAATTATCCATTGTGACGTCATCAATGTTTGCCAGGCAACCCAGTGGATAAGACTGTTTATAAGATTACAAACCTAACGTCGGCATCGTCCCGCAAACTTGCATCCATTGTAATGAGTTTAAACTGCCGGAGAGTGTCTTCGGAAAATTTAGACGTCTTCTTCTTCAACCATTCTCTGGCTTCCTGGGCCTTCTTTCGATTCCATTCCGCTTGTTCAACCTGATTATTCTCAATCTAATTTGAAGGTAAAGATTTGTTTGTTACGTAATAACAAAATTTTCTAACTGGGTCAGTAAGAGTGACGACATTAACCGGATCAGAAAGAGTAGCGTCATTAACCGGATCAGTAAACGTATTGATGCGATCAGAGGAAAATGAAGTTAACTTTTTTAACGGCTCAGAGAGAGAGGGTCAGAGAGAGCGACAAAGAGATGCATTTTAAATCATTACGAATATTGTAAAATTCACCATAACGGACAACATCCTTACCTTTTTAGCGTTTGCATTGGATATGTTAGTTTCGTAGTTCCAGTTCAGATTGCACGCTATCCCTGACCTCACAGCCAGCTTCGTGTTGTAGTCCTTCAGCCAAGCTTCAGCCTTTTCTTCAACACCAGCGTCAAACTTGCCATCAGAGAACTTGTCAACTGTAAACAGAGCATTTCATGTCAGTGTTCGACATCCTTACGTTTGATACCACAGTTACGTCTAGTTACGCACAGTTACGCACAATTATCCCTTGGTCGTAATTTACAGTTACCCAACAGGTTATGTTACAGCAGACATCAACTAATATTACAAACATCATATTAAGTTAAGAAACTTATGATAAAGAGAAACATATTATTTGAAAATCGGATAACCACCAACAAAAATGTGTATTTTTATTTAGTTGCTTGTACCATAGTTACCTTTAAGGACAATTATTTACGTCAAAAGGATGGAAGATTGCATCTTTGTCGATAGCAACAGAATAAATTGCAAACATAAAGAGAGGACAGTCATGTTGCAGATATACAGTTAAAAGCTTTGTATCTAGGAAATCCTTTATCATATATCATGCAATAAATTTCCATTCTATTAATAACATGCAATACCTTTGAAAGCATCTTCCAGCATATCTATTAACTGTTCCCGGAGTTCCTCATCAGACCGACAGAGGGCACCAGTTACCAGCAGTAGAGTGAAGATTGCCAGCCTCATTGTCGACGTCTGTCAGCCACAGCTCTGGAAATGAAACACGATTGGATATATTAAGACCAAATTTAAAGTAACGAAGTGAAGGAGTTAAAACACATTAAGCACACAAACTATTACGTCTGTTGAACTTATCTGAGCCCAAGTGATGATTTATCATATTGTAATAGATAATTGCCATGAATTCATGTCGCATAAAAAAATCAAAATTACAACCTCCAAATAAAATTTGCCGCCAGTCAACCACCTTGCCACAACTTATCATCGCGTTTATTCTAGATGTCAGAGCGCCGACTAAGCTCGACAGGATGGCAGAATTTGTAAAACCATCGCCTACAAGTGGACTAAGAATCTTTCATTTTCCCAAGATTGTTACAGTTATATGGCGAATCTCAGATAAAAAGAATCAAAGGTTGGTTTACCCCAGGGAAATTCGTTTAGTATGAGTTTTTGCGGGAAAGTATGTGTGCATGTTTTGGAAGAGCAAAATTTCATATGTTCTAGTACACATGACATTAGCCTGTAGCATTTATTAATTAAAGTTTTAATTCATTTTGGATTCCATCTTCATCCTTGCCCAATAACTGAAAAAAATATTTCCAAAGAGTAAACATAATTGTCTGCATATGATAACTCCCTCATGGAAAGCTTTACATGTACAAGAATAGTAAGCATAAAGGTGTACGAATATATGTACGTGTTCGCAAATATGTTTTGAAATCATCTTTTCGGAGGTAGAAATGCCAAAAACCTCGCTTAGCAAAGAGGATGTCTTTTGCAAAAAAATTAATACTAAAATGTAGGGAATGGTACACGAACCAGTCGATGAGGTTTGGGCACAAAGAGAATATTTGCCTCAAACCCAATCAGCTGCCTTGACCTTGACAAAACCACTGAAACCACCTGTTTTGGTTCCCTGCGTCAGTTCGTTACCATGATTACTATTTTCTTCAGCTCACATCTCAAATGCACCACATATGTCAACGTTTTCAAGTGACAAAGAGAGACAAACAAAAAAAAAACAGATATTCATTTTACAATGATTGTATTCCTGTCTATATTTATATGCACACAATGCAGCTATGGGAGCACCTGTGGGTGTTTTCGGCGGGAATGAGGACACGCACAAGCTAGTAAATTTATAGATATCACGAACATTGCGTAACATTAAAGAAATAACCTGCACTACGTTACGGCTCAGATTGCGGTACACACAATACATTCACCATGTGGTAATTGCGGTTTTACTTTCCCTGTATTCCATGTTCTGTCCTATTGTATCGCTTAGTTGGGCAGATCAGCTACAAAAGAAGTTTTCGTTGAAAGGAAACGCAATTCCGTGTTTATGTTTTCCGAACGCCCCATTCTAAGAAACAAAAAATAGCCAATTTATCGCTACGAAATTTCTTGCGGCGTGAGTCATGCTCTAGACTGTCGCAGCGTTGTCTCACGAAAGTCTTTCTAGCTTTCTCCCCTGGAGACGGATTACCGGGAATAAAAGTTTTAAGCCTAAGCAAAATTTATCTTTTCATGCATACATTTGTTATATGCTACTACTACATTAATGAAATATCACAGGTCATGTACAAAACGTGCTTGGTTACAAGCATTTTCAATCTAATTACACAAATGACATGCAATTTCTTACAAGTCACATCACAATTAGTAGGCTATAACAACTGAGTGAACATCACCTAACAAGAGCAACAAGCAGTGGCCAGAAGGTACCGGACTAATGTTATCTTATAAGGGCAGACAAGATTTACTTCGGTCTATTCACCAGTTGGTAGAAGGACGAGAGACCGACGACAAACTGCCCAGCAAGGCTGTCATGTGTACACAATATAAAATGTCGCCCAGTCCTGAGTTTCATAGACTTGGTTCGGCAGAGCCAGATTGATGGTGGAGCTAGATATCTCGAACCTCGTGGTGTGCAGTTATATGCCCCTCTACCAGCAAGCCACATGGTGCAGAAACAATACACACGCTTCCAGCCCTACTTCGTAGCCTTAATAATAATTTTAATTAAAATTAGCCATAACACCGAACGCCAAGCTACCCCCATCTTTCCATTTGCGTGCCCCAGTCTAGTACCAAACCTATGACCTCCGGCTCCGGATTTCCGCCATCACAACGACTTGTGAGACCTTTATTATTTTTTACTTACCAACATAAAATGAAAAATATTAATTAATTTGAAATACTCTGCAACTCCCTTTTCTTTGTTTGGGTGCCAGTTATGCAAGTTTACCAAACCGTCTAGGATATGGAAACTGAGTAGAAGAGCGTCTTCATTCACCAGGCCTGGAGGCACTCAAACATAACTAACGGTAGAATGAAATAACTACTTATCATGGATATAAACCATTTGATTGGTTTCCAATACCACCACTTAACTGTGTCGAGTTGTACATGTTAAACCGCATTAGGATTCACACATCATACTAGCTGGGTCGGTCCAACTCTGCGAGGAATTCTCACTAAAGTGCCATCAGTGGAATAAGCTTAATTTTCTGACACGCCTCCTCGAGAAGATCGGTCAGTTAAATAGCGTGTGCTGATTAAGCTGATTACATTGATTGCACTTTAGCAAGAATCCCCCACAAAGTGGACCGATCCCGCTAGTACGACGTGTGAATTTGAATGATATTAGTTCCACCTCTCTGATATTAGTTCCACTTCTTTCACTCTCATGCTGCAAACCACTTAACTCAAGGTAGGGCAACTCAAAATATGGAGATCTGTTCTCTTTCACCTGACTGAATACAGCATATCAACCACGCACTATATGGTATCAGAGAACTGATTGCAATAACGTGGAGATAAAGAACGAAAGACAAAGCAAAGACAGCCATATTAGTTCTCATAAACTAATAGCAGCTTCAAGAGCTCTGTCACACGAGAGTGCAAGGCAAATCTGTCATTTGTGTTTGATTGGCAATTGTTATCAGAGCTCGTGTCTAGAACAATGAATACGGCACTCGAAACTCGAGGATTGTCGCACGTTTTCCGAGAAACCCCAAGAAAGGGATATCGCGGGAGAATCACAAGTAGTCGTCTGCCAACAGTCCTATCATACACCATATTGACAACTTTGGTTGGGCAGATGTTTGACGTAGTTTGTGAAAGCAGAGATATATCGTATGTAAAACCCAAAGTACTTGTCTATTATTCTGAATCTAGATCTGACTATCTGGTCAAAAATCGAGAGCAAAAGCTGGAGGCAATCCCAGGGATGTTATAACTGTGATATCTTTATGGAAATACACCAGGAAACCACGTGGATAGTTGAAAACCCGATATAAATCCTTCCGTTCACCTACAAACTTCAGAATTATATTGTGTAACAAAAGAATAAACAAGCACAATTCACTGCATCTTATAGTCGTTATTCATACTAGTGTAAATATGCTTCCCAAGTTTCAATCATCCTCGAATTTAGTCATGATCAAGATCGACTTTAAATTTTGGTAACACTCCACTCTTTCTAAATGAAAATATACTTATTGGAAATAAACCTGTCTTCTATACATCGTGGTATGACAAAAACATTAGATTTGTTAATGATCTACTCCTGGACTCTGGAGAGTTCTATGACTTCACTGCGTTCAGGGATATCCACGGTATCGACACAAATTTTGTCGAATACCATGGAATTATCTCAGCCATAAAAGAATGGCTTGGTGGTATTCCTGAAAAATTAAGTAAAATTGCCACTCCTTTAATTCCTGATCATATATTGTTGCTGTCAGGTTGTTCAAAAGGCTCAAAGATTTATTATAAAACTTTAAGTAAAGTAGGTGTTCTTGAGATGTCAAAAGGTATGAATAAATGGAAAGAGTTGTTAAATTTGGAGGAAAATGAATGCCCGAAGATTTTCGAACTTCCTTTCACAATAACAAAAGATTCAAAGCTTCACTGGTTCCAATTTCGAATTAATCATAATATCCTTACCACAAATTCACTGCTTTTCAAATATAAAATGGTCGACAGCAGTATATGTTCCCTTTGCAAAGGAGCTGAAGAAACAACAGAGCATTTATTCTGGAATTGTGCGGTTACCCAAAAATTATTGACCGTCTTGGTAGAATATATATTATCTAATACTCAAGTTACTCTACCTGTCTCAAAAAGGAATTGCTTAGTCGGCTCTACGAGCCTCTCTCCAATTATTAATCTCATTATGTTGCAATTTAAATTTTATATTTATTTAAGAAGATGTTCACAGGGTAAACCAACATTAGGAGGTTTGATTTCATCGCTTAGATATCTGGTGAAAACAGATAAGTCAATCTGTCAGTACAATTCAAATATAATTAAGTTATTTTCAATTTGAAGATTTAGCGTACGACGATGTAATTAACTAAAAAGTGTTATATAGTATAACATCTCTTATGTGTGAGTGTGTGAGCGAGTGTCTGTTTGTTTGTATTTGTATTGTCATGTATTCTTGATGTATTGTGTCAATAAAAAAAAAAAATAAAAAAAAATAAAAAAAGATCGACTTTAAAGACAGACAGCGAAAGTAAAGCCTGAAGAATTGTTTGCTTTGTCGAAAATTGGTGGCATATCATACACTGTAATTAATATGTAGGCTAATAAAATGTTTATACCTAGGGCATAAAAATGAATAAATTTAATTCTAATAGATTCTACTGTTAAATCAGGTCTTTTAAAGTAGTTTCAATGATTATATTAATTATATCACAGGATTTTCTATGATATATCTATGAATTTTCAGATTATTGGAGTGCAATTTCTAGATCCAGACCCCCCCCCCCCCCCACCACCACCACATAACCCCGTAGATTTCACGTAATCCACCTACTTTGATGGTCTTTGTTTGAGAAAAAAATAGTTTCTGGGGAGAAAACTACTGCGTCTTAAATACCAAGAAACTATAAGTTTGAACATGACAGATAAATAAAAGGGTGCAACATTTTGGCTCAGTTACAATTATTTTCGTTGGCTAGACACTGGGTTTGATGAGAGACAGCAAGAAACAAACCTAACAAACACAATAAATCAGA